TATATATATATATATATATATATATATATATATATTTAGACAAACGATAAAATACACTTTACCGACCTTTCTTGTGTTCAGCACCAAGCGGAAATACGCAAAGGCCATATATTGATAAGCCGAAAACAGCAACTCGTTGATCAACTGAACAGGTGGGTCTTGATTGCCCGTTAACACAGAGCCCTTAAAATAACTGCAATCATACTGATAGTTGTACCACTTCACTAATTTTCTGTCGTTGTACGAACAATAATATTATTCGTGCTGTGTTGCTCTATAGTGCAACATGTGTTGCAGTTTCGTGTATTTGCAAACTCTGACTAGAGGTCCATTGCTAGTGCTGGCTAAAGTGAGACTGCTCCTTTTGCTGTTTCCCCTCCCTTGTTTTTACTCTGCTGTTATTAATTACGCCTAAGTAGTATTGTAATTGCCCGTGCCTCCAGTGTTGGTTGCTGCCGCACTCGATTGGTAAAGCGGAAGCAAAGGATTAAAATAAAAGGAAAAATAAAACGACAAGCGCTTGAATGCTTTTACCTGCTCTTTTTAGCATTTATTGCTCTGCTGAGCCACCTACAAAATATGAGCAAAACTTTTCCTTACCCCACCGCTTTCCCGTTTTTGCTTGTTAGTTGGCACGATAAGGCCCATATAGGTGTTCTTGGTGCATACGTTATGCAATTATATAGTTATTGGATTATAAAAGTCGACGTAGACAAAAAACTGAGAAGTGCAACAACAGCGCCTTTGTTTCCTTTCAGAGAATACGACGCAAAGAGAAGTGCTCACGGAGAAGAACCCTCGGGGGTTTTGGATCAGACCATCCGTTCTTTGAGGTTTGTTTACGCATTTGAATTAACGAGTGAATTCACTCCTTAAATATAGCAATATTGCTCGTGACCATGAAAATCTGATTAGAAAACGTCCTCATACCATACCATGACTGTCAATCCTTGGTTGTTTATGCGTTTCGAATTCGGTGCATTTGTCCCTAAGATTTGTTTTGTTTTCTTCAGGACTCAAATAAGCCAAAATAGCCAAAATATAACGGAACTGCAACAAGCCTGGATAAAGAAACAAACAGAGCTAATCAGCTTGCAGGCGAAAGTTGGGGAAAAACAGGAGGAGGTGAGTTACGGAAGAAGGCGAACTGGAACCAAAATATCGCTTAAATGCAGTACATCCGTCTGTGCGTTCTATGGAAAAGCTTATGTATGCATATGTGTATGTAGAAACATAGGTATGGATATACATTTACACCTATATAAGTATGTATATGTAGGCGAATAGTTCTGCATATATCACTAGCGCCTCATTAGAGGTTGTAAGCGTTTTAAGCTATAGAAGAGAAAATCCATGACGAAGCATTAATCGGGTGTTTGTTGCAGATTGCAGCAAAGAAGGACGAAATGCTGATAAGAAAGCAGCACAGCCACCGCATCAACGCGGAGGTGGAGGCGACAAAGAAAGAGATAAAAAGTTTAAATTCTGAGCTCAAAGATATGGATCACCTTGTCGACAGGATGGGCAGACAGTTGGCGGCCTTCAAACAACAGCAAGTACAGTTCGAAAGCCAAGCCAAAGCCATTCAAGAGGAAGCGCAGATGCAAATCGCACAAAAAGAACAAGAAAAACAAAACCTACTCAACAATGTTCAGGTCAGGATTTAGGGTTTATGGGTTATGGCAAAGTGCCAGCCACAAACCTTCAACGATATATCCGTCTTGCTTCTCCTCAGAAGCGACAGTCTGAAGGGCTTGGAATTTAAAGCTTGGACTTTAGGGCTTAGGATGTAGGGCTTTCAACTCGCTCTTGAGGGTTGAGGGTTGACGGTTTTAGGGTTTTGGGTGTAGGGTTTATGACATGGGGCGTAGGGTTTAGGGTTTAGGCCATAGGGTTTAGGTTGGGCATATCAGGAGGCAGAGAAGGAGCGTGATGGAAGTTTAGAGGAGTTGCTGGATTTGGAGCGCCAAGTAACCCTCTGGGAGAGAAAAATAAAGCTCGAAAAAGAAATTCAAGATGCGATTGACCCCAACATAGGACAGGTAAAGGAAGCAAATCACAAGGAATGGTGAACAAATGCATCACAAATACAAGAAACAAACACACAAAGGAGCTAGACAACAGCTTTCCTTCAAAAAGAAAAAGGTGCACAATACAGCAACGACAAAAATGGAAAGGCAACCATGAAGCAAACAGCCAGCTTGGAACACAGGAGCCTCAACCGACAGATCAGAACCAACACCCTAAAACCTAGACACTCAGCTCTAAGCTCCGAAAACAGTAAGAAGAGAAACTAAAAAGCAAAGCATATGAAAACGCAGATAGGAGAGCTGGTAGCATGAAAGGAACGAGAACCTGAGACTGTAAGACTGATGGATGGACACATTCACATATAAACGAGGAAAGAAGAAAAAGCACAAAAACAAGAAGACAACACGAATAATAATAATAACGATATTTACAATACTACTACTCCGACAGCCACAGCTGCAGCGCTGCAAGCCTGTTACTTTTATGCCACTTCAGCTGGGGCTGTTGGCGTTGCTGTAGTCGCCGCGGTCTGGGTTCGCGTTGTCCCCACCTCTGTCGTTGTTGTCACTGATGCTGCTGCTGCCGCTGGTGTTGCTGGCATTCGTGCATGCAGGCAGAGTTAGCAGCAATGAGGAAGGAAATTCACCGCATGGAGTTGCGTGAGATTCAGCTGAAAAAGACACAGCAACATCTCCTTAAAGAATTAAAGCAGGTGCTGTTCAGTGAACCTCCTGCAGCAGCAGCAACAACACTCTGCTGCAGCATTAGCAGAAGCAACTAAAACGGGGAGGGCAGAAGCAGCATCACCACAATAAACACCAAGGTAGAAGTAGCAGTGCTATGAACAGTGCAACCGGCAGCAATGGAACAGTATGAGCAAGAGCGGCAGCAGGCACAGCAACACGAGCTACAATTGCTTTTGGTTCTGTTTGCGGCAGCCGTCTCAATTCAAGGTGCAGTTGCTTCCTTGGAACTGACGCTCAACTACTGTTCAGTGGCTTCGGATGCTGCTGCTGATACTGCTGGTACAGGTTCTTTCGAAGCGAGATTTGATTCACATGCGGCATGCACCGAAGACTGGGACAGCGCAGGAGACCCACAAGAAGGTTGTTTTGCAGCGACAGATAACTGCTCTAGATAGCAAGCTTCGCGAAACAGAAGGTAATTCAGTTTTCAGTTTTCTTTCTCCCTAGGAAGAAGAGGTTCAATTACTGTTGGATGTTACCTCCCTAAAGATAAAGACAAGGCAATTTTCCTTTTATATTTCAAATTCTTCTTTTGTATTGCATGTCTCCCTATTACCTGTTTCCTCATCCCTTCGTATTTGTTGTAGAAAAGGAATTTAAATGCTGCGCGTTGTTCTCTGCCACTTGTTTTTCGGCATTTAGTCTATGCTTTGCTTTCTGCGTTGGGTTTATGCCTTACTTGCCATTGTGCCTGTTCTCCGGTTATTTGCTTATCGGCATATTTTGGAGTTACTCTGTTGTTGGTTCCACTTCACTTTCTTGATTCCACAATAATCCTTTTCTTTTGCTGCTCTGATTGCTATTCAATTTGCGCTGAACTCCGAGCAGAAAAAGCAAACAAAACGGAAAACGAATTGGAGGAGTCCACAAAAGCCTTCACGGAGGTATGCGTCCAAGCTCTAAGCTCTGAACCATAAGAACTAAATCTTTAACCCTAAACCCTCAAGAAAACGTGGCTACGGAAACAAGCTAAAGCTAGTGTACACTAGGTCATATTTAAGGCGACAGTTAACAAATGTGTATAATTGTAAAAATCAGTCACACCCGAGTTCTTTGGTGTGCATCTGGTTGTTTGTCCCTTTAAATATATTGTAGTTAGTGCGAAATACCTGATGAAATTGCCAAATTGCTGTACCTTCTTCATTTGTCTTCCTAATTGCATTTTCTGTCCTCAGGTGGAGTCTGCTGTATCAACTTTAAAGAGCGACATAAGCGAAAAAGAAGACCAAATTAAGAAAACGGAAAAGAAACTTGAAAAAGACAAAGGCAAACAACGACGAACTAACAAGCATACAAAATACACAAGAAGAACACACACACCTTTGCTAGTGCTTTCTTCTTTGTTTGTTTAATTTGCTTCCAATATTGATGCACGTGTAGTATGTCATCCCCCTTTGTTTAAAATGCTTGCTATTGAAATGTCCTACTCTTTTTTGTTAGTTTGTCCTGAGACTTGAGCCCAACACAATATATCTATTCTTGTCTACGGTCCTCCCTAGGATCTCAACCCTAAACCCTAAAGCCAAACGGATTACACATGCAGCATGCGCATACCCATACGGCTGTTCACCTGTATCCAATGCCTCTGCACACCTTGTCACCTTCTGCTTTCGCGTTTGTTGGCTCCCCAGTGCGCCTAGCATTTGAGAAAGCCTGTCTTGTTCATCTGCAACGGCTTACAAAAGACTTGGAGTCGATAACGGATGAAGACCTCAAGATTCCCCTCAAGGTATGTAGATTTGTTTCTTGTTTACTTGTTAATTTTTTTGTTTGCTTGACACCTCTATAATTTGCTTTCTCCTTTTTTTGTCTGTTTGCCTATTTGTTTCTTGCACATTTGTTTATTTGTTTATCGCCGTAGCATCATTTGCTCCAACGTGTATTTTTCTTGATCCGACTCATTTGTTAAGTCCTGGAAAAACCTAAACCGGAATCCATACAGGCAAATATAGTAATATGATTTGCTGGCACACTTCCTTGTCATTCACGCTAAACTATACGCATCGAAAATTGCACCCTAACCAGTAACTGCTACATTGTACACCATCGTTCTGCTTGGTATACGATTTAAGTATGGGCTAAAGAAACCATTTGAATTGAAACCACTAACAAAACGATTTTCTTTCTTTCGCGTTTCGCTTCGCCAGTGTATGGGTGCAGAAGTGAAGGAACGCTTCCTCTGGTTCCCTGGAAAATCTCAACTTGCTTTTGAGTTTTAATCAAAATATCAAATTTTATTGTTAAATTTGTCCTTTGTCTCTCGCTTACTGCTGCTTCACAGCCTTCAGCGCAGCTGGCCCTGCACAAAGTGCAAAACGAAGCTGCAAACGTCGCTGCAGCCATCGGGGAGGTGGAACAAGTAATCCTCAAACACCAAACCCTAGAAAAGCATTGCACCTGAATTATAATTCCCAAATCTGAGCCCTAGACAACAGATCTGAACTCTAGCAGAGGCAGTATATATGTTATACATGTATACGTAGCGGGGCCGATGGAAAAAGGATTTACGAGGCGTCAGATTTCGCTGCAGAATTAGTTCATTTGCTCCTCTGCGCTGCATGCATGCTTGCACAGGAAGCCCCGGCTCTGCAGGAGGTGTTGGAGTTGTTTAAGAAGTGGGCGGTGCATTTAGTCAGCGCAAACGACACATACAAACTGCAGCCTGAAGCTCTTCGATTTTCCGATTAAATAGCAACAGCGGCAGTTCCAGCTGCTGCTGTTGCTGTTGCTTCTGCTACTGCTGCCTTTCTGGCAGAGATGTTGCAGTACTGCAGCAGTTCGCCAGAGCTTGCAAATATAATTGTTTGGGGGAGAACCAACAGTTAAAGAAAATAGGAGATTAAAATATGCAACCATACAAATGCAAGAACCCCAGAACCCTAATCCACCAGGCCTAAGCCATAAACTCTGTGTATACAAACCCATAAGAGAGATAGAAGACACTAGAGGGAATAAAAGTTGAAGCAGTGAGTATCAGAAGAAGGAAACAATGCCCACGTTGACGGCAGTATATATACTTTTAACCTGAATGAATTTCCACTCTCTCCACAGTGATAATCGCAGACTAAGAAGAAGGAAGCCTACATATTGTAATGGCGCCCTACAAGCATATTTCCCGCAGTCAGCCTAAACCATAAACCCTAGAGCCTATATAAGGGCTCAAGCCTACAACTTACGGCAACGGAAGTGGGGGATAAACCTAAACAGTAAACCCCTAATAAAAACAACAAACAGACTGCCCAACGCAGTGAACCTTAAGCCCTACACCCTGAACACTAAACCATCGTAGTGTTTCAGGTGTCACCGATTGGCCACTGTGTGTGTCTTCGGTTCACTGAACCAGCCGGCAGCTGCCGAAGATACCAAAAACCTCGTTTATAAATGCCTGAGTTTGTTATTGTTCTATAAAATAATGATAAAACCAATTAAGTCAACTTAACCCAACGCTTTCTTCATCTGTTGCTGCGACTCACCGCCGACAGAGCAACCTAAGCAACAGCAACGACGAGGGCCCCACGGCAGGGTGAAGCCCCATTCCAATGCCTGTACATTAAAAGAAAAGTGTTTTTGCGACTTCTTCAGCTGATTTCAACTCAATAGAAGCAGCAAATACTCAGCTTACCGCTGCAGCTGCAGACGGAGGGGCGGCAGCGGTTGCAGCAAGAACAGGAACACCAGTGGCACGAGGAGTACGGAAAGCAGCAGCAACGGCACCACGAGCAGCTCTGGCAGCAGCAGCATCAGCTGCAGCCGCAGGAAGTTTCGAGCTTGGACTGGGCTCACACGCATAGGATGCGTTGGGGCCCCCCCCTGCGTTGGGGCCCCCGGACTTGACAGACGACGGGCCCAAGATTCCGCTACAATACCTGAGGATCCCCAAGGGGCCCGCTGGGCCCCCCGGCTGCTGCTTCTGCAGGGATGAAGGGCCCCCTCCAGCGGGCCCTTACAGGCCTTTCAGCAGCTCGCAGCGTCGCCGATTATCGCAGAGAAACGCAGCAGGTCCTCGATGCGTTGGACAGCAGCAGCAGCGGGAGCGCCGGGGATGGGGTGTACAGCGTGTCACTTCTGGTTTCTGTGCAGCAAGTTGCTGCTGCCGCTGCGCTGCAGCAGTTGCTGCGGTGCTTGCCTTCAATGCAGCAACAGCAGCGGAAGAGTCCCGTAGGCCTCTCTGCACGCGACAGTTTGCTGCTGCTGTCTGTCATAAGCAGAGCAGACAGCTGCCTTGGGGTTCTGCTGCAAACTGGCGTTGCTGATGAAGAAGACATTAACGATGCAGCAAAGCATTTAGAAGGAGCGGTAGAAGCTGTGCTCCTGCTGCTGCAGCATGTTAGCAACAACAGCAGGACACGCCTGCTGCTCGACCAGCAACAGAACCAGCAGCAGTGCACAGCAACCAAAGGGATTCAAGCTGCAGCAGCAGTAGCAGAATGGGAAAAGAGCTGCAGCAGAGTGTTGCAGCTGCTGCTACATCATTCTAAACTTGTTGACAGGCTCCCACAGACAAGAAAAGGCAGGTCTTGCTGATGCTGCTGCTACTTCGACTGCCAAATTTCTGCTGCCGCTGCAGCTTCTGCTGGATTTGATGCTGTAACCGCTACGCAAGCAGCTGCCACTGCTGCTACAACATCAGGTTGCTGCTGTTATTGCCGCTGCTGCTGAAGTTGGTACTGCGGTCATTGCTGCCGATATCTTCGCAATTGCTCCTTCCGTAGCTGCTGCTGTTGCTGCTGTTGCGTATGCTGGTGGTGTTGGCGCCCCCACTGGTACTGACGATGCGTTTGCTGCCGTTCTTATTGCTGCCTTGTATGCGCTCCTGCCGACCTCTGATGCCTTTATTATTGCAGCACGTGCTGTTACTGCTGATGCTGCTGCTGCTGATGCTGCTGGTATTCTTGTTGCTGTTGTTGCCGCAGATGTTTTGTGGCAAATGCTGGTGGGGTTGGAGTTGGGAACGCCGGAGAAGAGCGCAGCGATTGCTGCTACCTTGTGTCAGTTGCCATCGTTTAAGGTTGCGGTGTCTCGGCACCTAAAAGGAACAATGCTGCAGCTGCTGCTGCGGCTGCGTTGCTGCTGTTGCCATGACGAGATCCCTAAAGGCAGCAGATTACTGCTGATGGAGAGGCTCCTGCTGCTGCTGTCGCGCTTGGTTTTGAAGTTTCCCCTTGCATTCCGCACCCAACTCTTTCTGGTTTACGTGCCGCAGCAGCAGCAGCCGCAGCAGCCCCAGCAGCCGCCACCGCAGGAACAACGGCAGGGGGAAGGTGGGAGTGCGCAGCAGAATTTACCGTCGCGGGAAACACAAAGTTTAACTCTGAAGTGGCTCCAAACACAAGCACATCAGGCACAGCAGCAACAGCAGCAACAGCAGCAGCAGCTGCAACAACAGCAACAGCAGCAACACCAGCAGCAAGAGGAGGCTGGGGGCCTTTGGCTCCAGCCAGTAATAGATGCTGCCTTCCCAAAGGTCAGCAGCAACAGCCGGCAGACGCAACAGCAGCCGCTGCAGCAGCAGATAGCTGACGGAGCACCCCTAGCAGCGGCAGCGGCAGAGGCAGCGGCTGCAGCGGAAGCAACAGCAGTAGCAGAATGGGAGCCTCTAGTGCTGGGGGTGCTGCAGGACCTCTACAGGCCTGACGTACTGCGGCAGCTAAGCGCTGAAGGAAGAGAGAGTTTGCTGTTGCTGCTGCGGCTGCTGCTGAAATGCCTTAGGGGTCCCTCGCTTTTCGCTCCCGCTGCAGCAAGACGGCTCAGTGTGTCCTCCACAGCAGCAGAACCTGCTGCTGATGCTGCTCCACACCTGCTGCCGCTGCTGTTCTGGATTTGCTGCTGTTTCTTGTTATGGGTTTGCAGCTGCTGCTGCTCAAAGTCTGCTGTGGCTGCTGTTCTGGATGTTCTGCTGCTGCCGCTCTGAATCTGATGTCGCTGTTGCTGCTGCTGCTCTGAATCCGATGGTGTTGTTGCTGCTGCTGGTCTGAATCTGTGGTGGTGGTGCTGCTGCAGGGCCATTTCGGGACTTGCTGCGTAGTTTGATAACAGCAACTCCCCGTCTTGTCGCTCATGAAGCAGAATCAGCTAAAGTTCCTCAGGAGCAATTTTGCTACTTCGGCGGCCGCCTGGCTGTCTCTGCTGCTGCAGCTGTGTCTCCTTCTTTGTCTTCTTGGGGACAGCACGGAGAAGCTCCCTTCTTGTAAGCCGTAAACCCCAAGCCCTGGGTAGCCTACTGAACACGTTCACATATAACGCAGAGGGATTACGGTATAGGGTTTAGGGTTTGGGGTTGGTGCTGCAGGTTGCTGACGCGGGGACGCTGGCTGCAACGCATAGCGCAGGCTGACTTGGTGGTGGAGGCGATGTGGGAAGGAATGTTTCTCGATCCTCCTCTGCTGCAGCAGCCCCAGCAGCAACAGCAGCAGCAGCAAGAGCAGCAGGGGCGACAGCAACAACGGCATCTTTGCGTAGGCTGCCGTGCGTATGTTAGCAAGAACACAAGCCATCAATCGGCAGACTGCACAAGCAGCAGCAGCAGCAGTTCGAAGCAGCACGGTCAGCCTCTCGGGTGTTCGGTAAAGGACACTTTTCTTTGCCCCCCCCAAGCGGCTAACAGATGCAGCTGCGTCGACCCAGCAGTACCAACAGCAGCAGCAACCGCAGCAACCGCAGCTACGGCAGCAGCGGAAGCAGCAGAAACGGGAGAAAGAGCAGCAACAACAGGCCCTCCTCCAAGGGGTTTGCTGTTGCAGAGTGGGGCTGCTATAGGGTGTTTTGTGCTGCACAAAATTCAACAGGGACTGGAGCAGTCCACACCATCCAACTACGGCTTTTGGTTAGTTGTTGCTGCTGGTGCTGTCGCTTCTGCGGTTGCTGTTGCTGTTGCTCATGCTGCCACATCTACTGGGCTTGCCTTTCCTTTTGCACTTGGTGCCGCCTTTGGTGCTGCTGCGGCCTTTGCTTGTGCTTTTGCTCCTGAGGCACGTGCTACTGCTGCTGCTCTCGCTTCTTTTGCTGCAGTGCTTTATCTACGGGTGTCGCTGTAGCTGTTGGTGCAACTATTGCTGCTACCGTTGCTTTTGCTGTTTGGGCTTTTGCTGCTCTGGTTGCCGCCGTTGCTGCAGCATCAGATGCTTTGGCTGCATTTGTTCCAAATGCAATTACTGCACTTGTTGTTTGTGTCGCTGTTGCTGCTGCTGCTGACGGCTGCAGCTGTCCCAGCCGCTGCAGTTGCTGGATGGTGCTGATGCTGTAGGTAGAAGCTGCAGTCCGCTGTTGTGGCTAACTGAGGTGCTGCTGCGGGTGCAGGTGTTTGGTTGTGGTCCGGCTTTGTGAAATGTATGGATGGGCGCTATCGCGGGAGACCCGGCAGCAACTGTTTGCTGCTGCTGCAACAGCACTTACCGCAGTCATTAGGGAAGAGACAGCTAAAGGTGGAGGAGGAGGAGCAGCAACAGCAGCAGCAGCTGCTGCAGCTGCAGACCCCACAGCCTCCCTCACCAGGCAGGCAGGCCTCATGCAGGTCTTGACAGCTCTGCTGCAGATACCCGTACACGGCATGCTGCAGCAACAACAGCAACAGCAACAAAAACATAAAGAGTGGCGGCATCCGCCCATACTAGCTTCCTCTGAAATCGGAAACTTTGCTAAGATCAACAGCAGCGCTGGTTGGGAGGAGGCCCTGTATGAGGAGGAGACCTCACAGAGCTGCTGCGCGTTTGGCTTGTCGCTTCTCTCCAGTCAGCTGTTATCTTGCAGCCCAGCTGTATCCTGTCTCAGGTACCTGCTGCGGCTGGGGCTGCATCTGCTGCTGCCGTTGCTGCTGCATCTGCTGTCGCTTTTGGTATATTGCTGCTGCTGGAGTTTTGCTGCTGCTGTGGTTAATGCTGTTGTTAGAAAGCTGCTGACGCGCCTGCTGCTGCTGATGCTGCTGATTCTCCTCCTCCTCGTGGCTGTAACAGGTGTCTTGTACTTTTGCTGTGCTGCTGCAGCTGTAGCAGAGAAACGTTGCATCTCTATGCTGCCCTTCGAGACGAGGGCACCATCGGAAACCAAGATTTGCTTCTACTTCTCCTCGAACATGCAGATCGATTCGTTGCAGCGGTGCAGCAGCAGCAGCAGCAGTTGCTGCAGACGGCACGCTTTATGCTGCTTCCTGCGTCTCTCTTGGTTCCTTCCTACCTGCTGCTGTTGCAGCAGCTGATGCTGCTGCTGCCTCTCAAGGCAACCTGCAGAGGCGTGCAGCTGCTGTTTGAGCCGCCCTTCTTGGGGCGCTCGTTGCCGCTGCTGCCAACAGGAGCAGGAGCAGCAGCAGTCGGAGGGGGAAAGGCAGGCGCAGCTCGAATCTTGGATCCGACCTGTTGGCTGCTGGAGCTGTTTGGGGCTGCTTTGCTGCTGCACAAGGAGGTCATTCCTGCTGCTGCAGTTGAGGACTTGTTTGCTTCCCTTTTTGCTGCTGCAAGAGTGTCCTGGAGCAGACACAGGAGCGCAGCAACTGCTGCAACACGACTAGCGCGCCGCAGACCCAGCATGCAGAGACAGCATCACGGTGCCTCCTGGCTGCCTGCTGCTGCAGTCCTGCTGTTGCAGTTGCTACGCTGCTACGCTGGAGAAACGTCGCAGGACTACAGGGGGCCTCTGCTGCAGCAAAGCAGTCAGCAGCAGTGTCGCCTCCGCGTATGGGAGGCAGCAACAGCAACAGCTGCAAGAGGAGCAGACGGTGCAGCAAGAGGTACTATCAAGCCAGTGCAGGTTTCTCTTGACTCTAGGTGTCTCTGTGAAGGTCCTTTAAATGCATGTCTTGCTGCAGCAGCTCCTGCTGTACGGGGCCCCCGTTCGCTTGCTGCTGCAGTGCTCCTGCTGTCGTCTAGCTGCGCAGACCCTGCACCAGCAGCAATAGCAGCAGCACCAGCAGCGCAGCAGCTGTGGTTTACAGGAGACGAGGAGACAGCGAAGAACCTTGAGTCCCTTATTAGTGCGGAAGGACAGGAAGAAACCACGTTGGTTCAGGAGCTGCAGATACACCTCATTGAGTCCTTGTTGTTGTTTAAGCCGCTGCTCCCCTCGTCTCTTCCTGCTGCGCCCTTCCTTTGTGAACCTCCCCTGCTGCGAGTTGGTGGTGGTGCTGCTGCTGCGCAGCCTGCGAATGCAGCAGCAGCATCAACATCGGAGCTGCCGCCACTGCAGTTGCACCCGCTCACCTGCGGGACGGCCTCTCTGGGTGCTCTGCAGCAAAGCCCTGTTTTGCTGCAGTATATATACAGCTCCCACTATGACAGCAGCGTACAGCTTATCACAGCTCTTGTTGCTGCAGGCGATGCTGTTCTTGCAGCAGCAGCTGTTGGCTCTTTTGCAGCAACAGCATCCTCACCACCCGGCACACCCTTCCCATATAAACCGACGAGCACACTTAGCAGCAGCAGCAGATGCGGATATCTGCGGTGGATGTATGAGGCGTGCTGCTTCCTGACGAACCTCAAGTTTGCTGCTGCTGCCCTACCCCTGCATGCATGGGTCACTCCGTCTCACTGGGGTGTATCAGCAGCACCGACAGAAGTGTGGGGCCCCACAGGGCCCTGTTCCCTTGGATGTGCTTCTTGGCTAGCCGTTTTCTGCCTGCTGAGAGCAGCAACGAAGGCGGTACAGCAGGAGCAGCAGCAGCAGCACGAGGATCTGCAGTTTCCCCAAGAACGATGCAAAGCCTCACCAGCAGCAGCTGCACCAGCAACAGCTGCTGCCTCAGCAGCGTCTGCGACAGCAGCTGCAACCGACGACTGGTGCTGCAGCAACGAACAGGCGGGAGAGCAGCAAGAAGTATTCTGGCTGCTGCTGCTTGACACATTGCACTTGCTGCAACGCAATGGCTGGCCATGCCCTCCTTGCTGCAGTAGAGCCTACGGCAGCTGCAGCAGCAGCTGTCCCCTTGAAACTTTTCTATTGCTGCTGAAACACGGAGGCAGCAGCAGCGGCGATAAGGATTGGCAGGAACTAGCGGAGAGCTTCGCTGGGGAATCACCTGCAACTGCAGCAGCAGCCGCAGCAGGTGGAACTGTAGCAAGCCCAGAGGCAGATCTGTCTCCTTCTTTGATCATCCTATCAGAGCAGCAGCTCAAGCTGATGCTGCTGCCGTTGCTGCGCCTCCTTGTTGGACGAAGACGCCTATCTCTTCCCCTCATTCTACCAGCAGGTCTCCACCACCACCAGCAGCGGCAACAGCAGCGGCAGCAGCAGCAGCAGCGGAGTGCCTTTGAGAGTATGGATGCCGGAAATCTCTGGGCATTTGTGGGCGACAGCTATACGAGCAGCAGCACGCTTGAATCAGGTGCAGCAGCAAGACTTGTGCAGCAGCAGCAACAGCGTATCTCGCCTGACTATGGGACTCCTGGCGCTGCTATAGCAGACGCTGCTGCTACTGGAGCAGCAGCTGCTGCTGCTCTATCGTTTTTGCCGTCTCAGTACTTAGTGCTGCGGTGGCTGCTGCAGTCTGTCGTCATCTTCTCCTTTGCACCGGCTGGGAGCAGTGTTGATGCGCTGCAGCAGCAGCAGGGACGGGATAGGGCGCAGCAAGGCCTGAATGGCACAGTGGCTGTGTTGGCGCTGCTGCATGATTTTGCAGTCGGCGGCAGCAACAGAAACAGCAGGAACAGAAGCAGCAGCAGCAGCAACAGTAGCAGTTTGATCGAGCAGCACGTGTACCAGCTGCTGCCTCTCTGCGACGGGAAGCAGACTCACCGTTTGCTGCCAATGGCTCTGTGCCTCTCCTTCCTGCAGCAGCGCGAAGCAAGCTGCTCAACTTCAACAGCAAACAACATGCCTCGTCTGCTGCAGGTTCTGGCTGCAGCTTCTTTGCTGCTCGCCTCAGATTGTCTCCTCGCCCTGCTACAGCCAGTCAGCCCATACACCCTAAACCGTAAACGATATTCTTTTGAACAGCTTGACTCTACCCGACCGTTGGTTTACCAGTTGCTGGATAGAGCCCTGACGCTGCAACTTCCTTGTTGCTGCTGTTTGCTCTGCTGATGCTGTTGCGTTTGTTGCTGCTGCTCCCTGCGTGCGTGTAGGTGGTTCTGTCCTGGTTTGTTTGTCTCTGTGCTTGTATTCTTTCTTGTTACCCCGCTTCTGCTGCTGCTGTTGCTGCTGCTCTGCTGCGCGTGCTTCGGTGTCTACGCCTACAACTTGCTGCTTCCTGCTTCTCCTGGGGGCCTCCAGCAGAAGCAGCTGAGCTCTCACTACACCTCGTTACTGCTGCCCTCTTGCCGTTTTCTCCTCAAGGTCCGCCGCTGCAGAAGCAGCAGCAGCAGAGACAGCAAACGCAGCAGCAGGGGCACAAACACATGCAGCTGCAGGGGCAAAACCTGTGCCTCCCTCTCACACAGTTTCCTAGTGAGACCGAGCTTGCATTTGTTGTGCTTCTGGTGATGCTGCTGCAGACATTGCACACCCTTTGCTGCTCTGCGGAGTTGGTGGAGAGACGGGAGGAGAATTCCTTCGCTCTCTTGTTTCTGCGGGATCGGTTTCCTCTTGGCTGCTGCGTGCGCTGCTGCCACACAGCGCTACATGCACCCCTTCTGCTGCTGCGGCTGTTCCCGCAGCAGTCGGGCTGGGCAATGAAGACTGTGAGCGTCTATTCGGGTCCCTTTGGATAATGCTACTGCCAGTTCTGCTGCCACTTCTGGTGCTGCTGGTTCTGGTGCTGTCACTGAAGCCTTCTGGTTTGCTCGTTGTATGATCATTGCCTTCGGGCTGCGCACAGCAGCATCAACGTCTTCCTGAGTTAAAGATTTACACAAAATCAACAAGTGCCCCCGCGGCAGCAGCAGCAGCAGGAGTGAAAATGCTGTGTGATGTGTGCTGCAGTACGGTGTCTTTGCAGCTCTGTGGCTGCTGAGTTTGCTGCGCTTGCGTGGCCCCACAGAGAACGTCTTGCGTCCGCAGCAGATGCCTTGTTGCCGCCTTTGCTTGAGTCTATAGGAAACCCTTTGCTGCAGCAACAGCTGCAGCCCCAGCCCCTTTTATGCGCTGCACCGTCCTCTGCTGAGGCAGCGGCAGTAGCTGCTGCTGCTGCTGTTGTGCTGAAGCAGCAACGCGAGCGGAGGAGGAAGGGCTGGCCAGAGGAGACGGACGAGGAGGCGGCGGAGACACAAGCGGAGGTCAGTTGCCGTTGCTGCTGCTGCTGTTTGCTGCTCTTACTCCTATTGCAAGGAGTGCTGGCTAGCGCTAGATGTGCAGCTGTTGCTAACACTGCAGCTGCTGCTTCTGCGGCTGTTCCCCCCTGCTGTGACACACAGTGAATACGCCTACTGCGCTTGTTGCTGCTGCTGCTGCTGCTTGCTGTTGCAGACGCTTCTGCGTCTCGCCCCGTCTGTTGTGCCTTTGCTGCTGGACTACTACTCACCGCGCGACGTTCTCGGAGAGTTGCTGCCAGCACTGCAGCAGCAGCAGCAACAACAGCAGCAGCAGGGATGTCCTGCCTTGGCTGCTTCGTTTGTTTGTTCGTATACTGCGGCAAAAGTTGCTGCAGTTGCTGCCGCTCCTCTTGCGTCCAAGCCCTTCAGCGCCTTCATTCTCTTTGAGTTGCTGCAGCTAGCTGGTGCTCCGGGACCTGCAGAAGCAGCAGCAAGTGATGCCTCAAATGCTTATTCGTTTGCTACTTCTCCCTTAAGGCCTTTTGTTTCCCGAGCACTTCAAAGAACAGCAGCAGCAGGTGGAAGCACGGTGCAGCAGCTGCTACAACAACAACTCCATTCGCTGCTGCTGCTGCGGCTGCGTGGCGCGAGGAGCCCTGACGGCTCACCTTTAAGCATTGGGCCTCCCCTGCAGCTGCAGGTGCAGCAGAAGCAACAGACGCAGCAGCTGGCTTGGCAGCTGCTGCTAGCAGGTGACGCGGAAGCTCTTGACCCAAGGGCTGCTGCTGCTGTCTACGCACACTCCTTGGAAACAGAAGTACCAACAGAAGCGGCAACAGCTGCTACTGCTGAGCCCCAAGAAGCAGGGGTGGAGGAGATGCCTATGTCATTGCGTTGCACCGCAGCGGAAGTTGCAGCTGCAGCTGCGCCGCTCCTTGCTGCTGGATCTCATCTCCTCTTCCAGGGTACGTTCAACCACGCTGCTGCTTCTGCTTTTACAGCGCCGCCTTCTCTTGCTGGTGCTGCCTCTGCTTCTGTTGGTGTTGCTTGTTACTACTGCTGCCCCTTCTGTAGCTGCTCCTTTTCAAGTCCATTCTGGACCCAGGTGTGTTGCGCTGCTGTTGTTGCTGTTGGTGCTACTGCGGCATCTGTATCGGCTTATTCTGTTGCTGTTGCTGCTGCCGCCACAGCTGGGTATCTGAGCGGGGTGCCTGTGCACCTGCTCCTGCGGCTAGTTGCTGCTGCTACTCGGAAACCGCTGGGCAGCGAAAGACTCGAAGAAATCGGGGCAACGCTGTTGGCCCTCACATTAGGCGGAGACATGGAGCAGCAGCAGCAGCAGCAGCTGCAGCTGCAGCAGCAAAGCTACCTGCAGCATATACTCGACACTCCGCTGCTGTGCCGCACCTTCCTTCGACCAAGACAGCACCTCATTCTTCCTGCTGCCGCCAGGTACTCGTTGTTGTTGTTTTTGTTGTTGTTGTTGCTGCTGCCGCACGCTTGTTGTGTTCCAGATTCAATATGCTGTTCCTGCTATCGATGCTGCGGCTCCGCTGCTGTTGCGGCAGACTGCCCGAAACGACCGCCGCCGCTGCCAGGAGCGCTGGGCTAAATAGTGACAGCACCACATCAGCAGCAGCAGCAACTTGCAGCTGTTGGTATTGAGTTGGTTTTTGGTTGTCATTGTTGGTTGTTGCGGATGCAGTTTGCTTGCCTTGGAAACAGCTGAAGGCCTTCCCTCACCACCGTCTGTCTCCACCCTTTGCGGGGCGATGCGTAGCGGGGCGGTTGCTTTGTTTCCTGCTGCAGCTGCAGCTGCTCTGGAGGAAGACGCTGGCGCGAGAGAGCAAGCGGAGGGGGAGTTTGGGGCCTTTTTTCGATCGAACCTGCTGCTGCTGCTGCAATCTGTGGAGCGCCTTCTATTCCCGCCGCCTCTAGCAGCACGCCAGAGCGCATCACAGGCCGGAAAAACAGCAGCAGCAGCAGCAGCAGCAGCAACAGCAGCACGAGCAGTTGCTGCAGCAACCGAAGCTGAAGGGTCTCCTTATTGCTGCGATGATTGCCGAGACGAGCAGCGCGGTGCAGCAGCAGAAGCAGCAGCAGCAGCAGCTGCTGCTGCTACTCCTGCTGCAGTAGAAACTGCGCGGCTGCTGGGGTTGGAGCTGTTGCTGCAGCCGCACTCCCGACCAGCAGAACTCGGCGACGAGGGTTGGAGTTTGTTGCTACTGCAGCAGGGGTTTCTCCTGCCTGCAGCAGCAGCAAATTCTGCTCCTCCACGTGTCTCCGCTGCGCGCAAGCGAGTGCTGCTGCTGGATGTTGTCGCTGCAGCCCTCCCCTTTGCCGCAGCAAACCCGGATTCCCTGCTGCTGCTGCTGTCGTTTTGCTTCCGCTGCCTCGGGAATTTCTGCAGCAACACCAACAACAGAATGCACGGATGTCCTCGAGAAGCAGACGAGGGTTGGGGAAGCTGCTCTGCAGCCGCAGCAGCAGCAAAACAGGGAGAAGCAGCGGGGCTCATGCAGGCTGCTGCTGCTGCTACTCTTGCTGTTGTACATGCAGCAGAAGGGGAAGTACTGCTGCACGTAAGTCCTACCCCCTAGCTTGCTGCAATATATCCTCGCTTGAATAGTGCAGCAGCAGCTGCTGCTGTTACTGCTGTTTCTGTTGTTGCTGTTGCTGCTATACAGGCACCTGCCTGCAGCAAATTCCCACTTGTGTGGACAGCTCTGCCATTTGCACTGGCTACTCGTAGCTGCTGCCGCTTCTGCTAATGTTTCTGCTGCACCTGTTGCTACTGTTGATACAACTGCTGTTGCTTCTGCTGCTTGCCTGCAGACTCTGGTGTCTCCTTTTCGTGAGGGCGGCTGGGGCCCTGCTTCGCGCTGCTGCTGTCTCCTCGACTTCATTACAGATGCCTTTGCTGCTGCACACGCCAGAGCACAGCAGCTGCAGCCAGCCATCGCTGCTGCGTGCACAGCTGCAAGCAGATCAGACCAGCAAGCCAGTAGCAGCAACAGCAGCAGCAGCTGCAGCAGTTGCAGCAGCTGCAGCATTGCGTGCAGCGACGCCGACCGCCTGCGAGAAGATGCAGCAAACGTTGCAGCAGAAACCTGGATGTGCCTCCTCCGTGCCTTGTTGCTGCGCTTGTGCGATGTTTCGTTCTCTGCCAGAGCAGCTGCAGCAGCAAAGGATTCGCCTCACTGGAGGACAGCAACCGCAACTGCGCCAACAGCAGCAGCACCTTGTGCAACAACCACTTCCTCGCCCCGCCACGGGGGAAATAAAAGACCTTTGGACTTTTCTTGCGACATTCAGCAAACTAGCAGCAACAGCACTAGCAGCAGCAGCAGCTGCTGCTGTTTCTCCCTCGGGGCCGAGCGGCTGCTGAAGCACTTAGGCCCTGCTGCAGCACGGCTGCTGCTGCTGCGTCCGGCCCTCTGCTCTGCAGGGCAACAACTCCTGGACGAAGCTGTCGCTGCTTGGAGCAGCAATCCACAGCAGCACCAGCAGGACGAGCTGATTTTGCGTCCTGTTAAGCGGGCAACAGGGTCTGCAGCACCGTTTCATCAACCAGAAGCAGAGGGTGGAGCAGAAACAACACCAGCAGGTGGTGTTGCTGCTGCAGAGAGCCCAGAAGCGAGAGTAGCTGCAGCAGAAGCGGCAATACGAACTCTCACAGATTTGCTGCCGTTTCGTTCTGCTGCGGCATTCAGTGCTGCTCTGGTATCTAGAGGCCTTGTTCCACCGCAGGAACAACAATGGCAGCAACAGCAGGACCAGCAGCATCGCAGCATCTGCTGCGCCGACTGCGTTGCGAGGCAGCAGGGGCAAGGCCTCCTGGTTGGATTTGTCGCCCCGGAACTCGCACTACTGCTGCTGCAGCAGCAAGCAGCAGCCGCATGCAGAGTACCTTCGCTACTGCAGGCGGAGTGGAGCAGCAGCCGGAGCAACAGCCCGGCGGCAGCGGCAGCAGCGGCGGCAGCTCAGTTGCTGCTGCAGTCCGAGCAGTTTGCTGCAGGGAACGAGGAGCGGCAGAGCCGCACTGCCTTCCTCTGTGCGTACAGGATCTGCATGCCTCACCCTGGAGCAGCAGCAGCAGCAGCAGAAGTGCCGGAAGCAGCAGCAGAGGCGAGGTGTCCAAAATTTGCTGCCGTAGACGCATTTGCTGCAGCACAGACAGCTCTCTCCAAAGACGTCCAACTGCAGGCATTCATGCTTTTGGGGGCAGCAGCAGGAGCAAACAGCAGCAGCAGCAACAGCAGCGGGGCAGCGCACTGGCAGCAGCTGACCGTGGTGCTTTTGGAGGCTCTCGTGCGGCCGGAGCTTGAAGGCCTACGCACTCACCTAAGGTGCGCTGCTGCTACTGTTTTATCTGCCTCTATTGCTGCTGTTGCTGTTGCTGCTGCTGCTCCTGCTGCATGTGCTACTGTGGTTCCGGTGTTTTTTGGGTGATGCAGCGGGAAGGCTGGGGACTCCTGCTCTTTTGGAGGTGCTGCTGCTGTGTGTCTGCTGCTGCAAGAAGCAGAGGGGCCAGAAGAACCTGAGCGGCGCTGTAGTCGCCTGCAACGGAAGGCTGCGGCACCTCGCAGCAGCACCAGCAGCAGTCGGCAGCAGCAAATCGATCCAGACCGAGCCATCGGGGGTATGTGGCCTCATAGAAACACTGCTGCTTGCGGTGTTGCTGCTGCTCATATGCTGCTGCTGTTAGTCGCTTTTGCTGGTTCTGCTGCTGAGTGTGCTGTACGGTGTTTGTCTGCCATGTGCATGCAGCAACAGTTATATTTGCAGCAGCCTCTGCGTTGCTGCTGCCTGCTGCTGCTCCTCCTAAGCGACAGCTGTCGCGCCTGTGCCTTGAGACGCTGCAGCTGGTTGCAGGGTGGCCTGCGGATGGTGCTCCAACTGGTGCTGCGAGGAGGCAGTCTGGGGAGGCTTGTGGAGCAACAGCAGCAGCAACAGCAGCAAAAGCACTGGCTACTGCAACGGCCTTAGGGCGACTGCAGCCGCTGCTGCGGCGCCCCCTTGCGGTGTCTTTGCACCTCGCATGCCCTAAACGGCCATCTGCAGCAATATATAAGATGTGAGCTGTGTGTCCTTTGTTGCTCCTGCTAGTGGTCATATTGCTGCTGCTTATGCTGTTATTCTCACTGCCACTGGTGTGCCTGCTGCTGCACGGGTAATCAAGAGCGGGACGCACGCGCGTAGGAAGCAGCAGCAGCAGCGGAGAGAATAATTGCAGGAGTTGGAGCTGCAACAGCAGCAACAACAGCAGAAAAGCATGCGCGGTGTTTGTTCAGATTGCTTCTGCGGTTGCGGCGCTGCATTCGTTGCTACGCAACAGCAGATGTCTGGAGGCCCCACATATGGCAGGTTGATGCAGAATCTGCAGCAGCAGATAGGTGGTTTTGCCGAGTTGCTGCAGCACTGCTTATCTACATTGGGGACACTAAGGCCGAAGCAGCTACTGTTACTGCAGCTGCTGCATCATCTCAGCAGCGGCAACAAACAACAGAAGAGGAGGTAAGGTGCTGGCCATGCGCGTAGCTAGGCTGCTGTTGTTGCAGCTGTCTCTGCTGCTGCTACAATGGATGTTGCTGCAAGTTGCTGTTGCTGCTGTATTTGCGTTGCAGAGTGCAGCGACGTCGCTACCGCAGGATGGGGAGATGCCTAAAGTGCAGCAGAAAAAACGGCGGCAGCAGCAGCAGCAGACTTTGGGTTTATTTGAAGTTGCGGCTCCTTTGGTAGCGACGAGTCCCGAGCTCGCGCGTCAGCTGCTGCCGCTGCTGCTGCTGGCCGTACTGCGCTGCGGCAGCGAGACAGCAGCAGCAGCACTTGCTGCTGCTATGAATGAGCACGTGTTCAACGTCTTTAGAGAGCAGCTGCCTCAGCAACAGCAGTATCAGCAGCGGCAGCAGCGGGAGGTGCCCGCGGCTCACCGCTCGGTCGCTGCTGTTTGCCTACGTGCAATAGAATTTCTTTTGGGACTTCCTGCAGCATCAGCAGCAGTAGCAGCAGCAGCAGCAGCAACAGCAGCCGAAAGGGCAAAAGGAGCACAAGCAGGTGACGTTGGTGCTTCTTCGCTGCGGGAAACGCAGCAGCAGCAACAGCAACAGCAACAGCAACAGCAAGGACTGGTGTTGTTTTGGAAGCAACTAGATTCGGAGGCAGCAGCAGCCGCTGCTCTTTGTTTAGGAGGAGCAGCTGCTGCTGTGCTGCTTGCTGAGCAGCAAATCGTGAAGCTGTACGGAGACGTGGCAGCACCGCTACAGCAGGGCTTGCAAGCATTGGTAGCTGAGGCTCAGCAGCAGCAGCAACAGCAGCGGGGCCGTGTTGCTGCTGCTCTGCTGCCTGCCGCACCTCCTCCGTTGTTGCTGCTGCTGGTGCGCGCCCATGCAACAGCAAGACCAGCAGATGCAGCAGCAGCGCAGCGCTGCTTGGAAGGATGGCACGACTCTGCTGTGCTGCTAGAGAAGGCATGTGCTTCTAACGACCCTCTAGAGGTTTTGTCTCTCTTCAATGTGCAGCAAGCGGCAGCAGCAGCTGCTGCTGCTGCTCCAGCTGCTGCTCCCGCCGCCGTTGCCGCTGCTGCTGCTGATGCTGTCCCCAAAGCGCTCGAAGAGCTGGGGCTGCATGCGCTGCTTGACGCCTACCTGGGCAACTCCTGGCAACCGCCACAAGCTGCAGCAACAACAGCAGCAACAGGAGGCATGCGCCTCCTAACGACAGGGTCTGCTTTCAGGGAGGCAGGGGAAGCAGCAACTGCTGCTACTGCTGCTGCTGCTGCAGGATGGCTTCAGCGAAAAGCTTCATGCCTTTGGCGCCTGCAGCAGTGGACCAACCCCTTTGGAAAAGCAGCAGCAGAAGAAGCAGCAGCAGCAGCATCTACTTGCCTCCTTTCCAGTTGCTTCCCCACTAACGGCAGTAGCAGCAGTAGCAGTCGCGCTGAAGGTGCTGCGTTCCTTGCCACCGCTCTTTCGCTGCAGCACGCCGCTCAGCGCATGCGCGACTACGGGGCTGTTCGAGTTCATGCTGCTCTGCAGCAAGCTGCAGCAGGAGCTGCAGACAGAGCCTTTGCTGCTGCCATGCAGCAGCTGCAGCAGCTGGCACCCTCTAGCGAGTCTGCTGCTGCAGCCATTGAATGCCTTGTCCAAATTCGAATGGCGGCCTCTGCAGCATGCACTATTGCTGTTGACATTCCCCGTGGGTGTTGTTTCTGCTGCTGTTGCTTATGCTGCTTATGCTGCTGTTGCTTCTAGTTCAACTACTAGCGCAGTGCACGCTGCAATTGCTGTTCCGTGTACATGGTGATGTGTTTGTTGCTGTTGTTCCTGCTGCTGTTTTTCCGTTCCTGGTGCAGGCCGCCTTGCGGTGCTGCAGTATGAGTGGCAGCACGAGCTAGCAGCAGCAGCGGCAGCAGCAGCAGTGGCATCACCGCACCAGAAATCATTCCTAGAGACGGTCGAACCTTTGGGGGCCCTGCAGGTAGCAGCACTTGCTGCGTCGCTTCCAGGTCCTTTCGCTGCTGCTTCTTCTGCTTCTGCTTCTGCTTCTCCAAGAGAGCAGCAGTCTGTAGCAAGTACAGCAGCTGCAAGAGCAGAGGAAGGTGCACTAGCTGCTGCTGCCGCTGCAAGGCACATGCGGGCCATCGGTAGCGCAGCACGACAGTGTGGGGCGTTGCTGCAGAGCCGCCACTGGCTGCTGCTGGCTGAGGAGACGCTGCAGCGGCATCTGCTGCAGCTGCAGCGCCTGCAACAGCTGCAACAGCAGCAAGAGCAGCAGGAGCAGTTATATGGTTTGTTGTGTTGCGATTTGTTTGTAATTGAGTGGCAAATAACCAAGACACTGCATGCAGCAGGAGATGACCACAGGGCAGTGCATTTAGCTCGTCGTCTCTGTCAGTCTGCTGCCTGGCCCTTCTCCTTCAGGCAACTCTTCTCACAACAGTGCCAATCTGCTGCTGCTGCTTCTGCTGCTGCTGTTGCTGATGTTGTGGGGGCGAGCAGCACAACAGCAGCACTTCCTGGCGCCGCAGCTGCAGCAGCAACAGTAGAGGGGTCAGCAGGTGCAAATGCAGCAGCAGTAGCTGCTGCTGCTGCGTTTGCTGTGCGGCGACGGGAGTTTTTGGAGTCGGTGTGCGAATGTCTCTGCTGCTGCGGGGAGTGGCTGTACAGGGGTCGTTTTATAAGAGAGGAAGAAGCAGCAAAAGGGTTTTTAAATGTTGCTGTTGCCGTTGAGTGCCACTTGCCTGCTGTTGATGCCCACCAGCGACTGGCGTTGCTGCTGGACGACGCGCTGGCAGCAGCGTCGTCGGAGCAGCAGGAAGACTGGCTGCTGCAGCAGCTACAGCAGCAGCTGCAGCAGCAGCAGACGCCAGAGGAGCAACAGCAGCTGCGCGAGCAGCAGCAGCAGCAACAGCGCAGGAGGCAGCGACTTGCTGCTGATGCTGCTGCACTCTATGCTCACTGCCTCCGCGATAGCAACCTACAACAAGCAGCACACACAACAGGCCGTCTGCTGTCTCTTTGGTTTTCTTTCGGTCCTACAACCCCACAAGTCAATCTTTCAATTCGGAGGGCTCTTGCGGCTGCTGCTGCTGCCCCTGCTTCTCCTCCTGCTGCTGCACCAGCTGGTGGTACAACTGCTCCGACGCCAACTGCTCTACAATTGCGCGCAGCAGCAGACCTCAAACACCTGCTGCCGTTCGTCCCTCAAATCGTCTCCCGCCTAGCTGTCGAGACTCCCCAACAGCACCAGCAGCAGGGGGAAGCAGATTTTCAGTTGTCTGTGCGTGAGGTGCTGCTGTCTTTGGCTCGTCAGTCTCCTTTCTCTGTTTTGCTGCCCCTCATTGCCCTGGAGAAAAATGACAGGGTTCCAGCTGCTGCAGCTACTACTGGAGGTTCCCACAGACCTGCAGCAGCAGCCGCACAAGCACCTAGCAGCAGCAACGCCAGGGCTGCAGGACTTCTGCTGCAGCAAATTTCCGCTGCACATCCCGCCCTCTGGGAGGCGGTGCGAGCAGCAGTAGCTGTTGCTTCTCTTTACGAAGATATCTGCCTCATCAAGGAGACAGACATGCAGCAACAGCAGCTGTTGCTGCTACAACATCAACAGCAGCAACCGTTGCATCGTCGCGCTGGTCGACGGCCAGCAGCAGGAGGCGTCGGAGCGTCAGCAGGTGCAGCCGTTCCTGGTGGTGCTGATGCGAAAAACACGTCCCCCACACCAGCAGCAGGTGCAACAACAAGTGCAGTAGCAACTGGGCCGACGGACTTGCTACGGTATGTACGTACGTTGAACTCTTATAAAGCAGCAGTTTCTATGGTGGGGAGCGGTGCTACTGCGCTGCCTCTACCCTCTGCTGCTGCGCGCATGGAGGCCGCTTGTTCTGTGCCCCTTCTGCAGCAGTACCAGCAGCAGCAGAGGGGGGGGTTGCGCGAATGGGCCGAGCAGTACTTGGAGTGTCTCTCTCTAGACAGCGAGGGAGAATTGAATTTGTATGTCTCCTTTCTTGGCAGCGGAGTCACAAAGCCGAAGCAAGTTGCTGCAGCAACAAAGAAAGGCAATATTTTAAAGGAGGTATGCAAAGCAGATGACCTCAGGAGAGACAGGGTGGCGCAGCAGCTCTTCTCTGTCCTTAACCATGCCTTTGCTGCTGCTGCTGCTGCAAATGCCCCAGCTCCTGCAGCAACAGCGTTTGCCTCTGCTGTAACGGCAGTGGGCAGGAGAGCTGCGGAACCTGCAGCAGCATCAGCATCAGCATCAGCAGGAGATCTGTTTCTTAGGACTTACGCTGTCGTTCCTCTGTCTCCTTTTTGTGGGGTCTTAGAGTGGGTAGACGGCGCAGTTACCCTTGGGGAGTATCTGGTGGGGTCGCCAGCAGCCGCAGCACCAGCAGGAGCGGCAGGGGACAGGGCGACAGCAGCAGCAGCTGCTGCAGCAGCAGGAGCAGCACACAGAAGGTTCCGGCCACAGGATTGGACGGCGCAGTATTGTCGGAAGAAATTGGCGGACGCCCGGGCAGCAGCATTGAAGGAAGCAGCCAAAGTGCAACAGCAGCAGCAACAGGACCGTGCGACTGGTGCTGCAGCTGCTGGTGGAGGTAGAGAGGAGCCTGGTGGAGCAGCGGGTGCAATTGCACCAGCAGCAGAAAGTGGTGATGGTGGTGGCGGTTTGGTGCAGCAGCGTTTGTTTCAAGTATATGAAGAGATTTGCATGCATTTTCGTCCTGTTTTATCATTTTTTTTCTTGGAGTCGTCGAGCTGCTGCAGCGAATGGCAGCAGAAGCGGCAGCAATACACCTCTTCTCTTGCTGCAGCAACAATTGGGGGTTTTGCTGTTGGTTTAGGGGACAGGCATTTAAATAATCTTCTTCTGTGTCGGGAGACAGGCGTATTTATACATTTAGATTTTGGCATTCTCTTTGATGCAGGCTTGCTACTGCCTATACCTGAATGTGTCCCTTTTAGATTAACAAGGGACCTTGTAGATGCTTTGGGAGCCCTTGGCGTTGGGGGCCCCTTTAAGGCTTGCTGCTGTGCTGCATTGCTGCTGCTCCGAGCAAACGGGGCACTCGTTGCTGCTGTGCTGCAGGTGCTGCTGCTAGACCCGTTATATGCGTGGACCAAACCGCACAAAACCCACAGGCTTCAACAGCAACAGCAACAGCAGCAGCAGCAGCAGCAACAGCAGCAGCAGCAGCAGAGGCAGAGAGGTCAGATAACGCATCACCCACACACCAACTAACCCTAACACCTAAACCATCCAAAATCAAACAAACCCTTCATCTAGGATCTAGGGTTTAGGGTTTACAATATACGTTTAGTGCTTGTGGTGTGCTGCTGCAGTAGACCTACAAGGGGTTTCTCCGCTGGAGGGCAACAAGATGGCCATGAAGGCCATCCTTAAGGTACGCCCTAAACCAGAAACTCTAAACTCTAAGGAATCCCGCTCCTGCGGATCCGAGGCCAGCAGGGCCCTATACTCTAGACCCTAACCTATAGTTGCATGAGGGGCAGGCTATGTTGAGTGCTGCTGTTAAACCGTGCCCGTTGATGTGTTGGCGTTTTAAGGCTTAGGGATTAGGGTTTTGAGGCTGTTTGCAGGTTCAGCGCAAATTTCAGGGATTCGATAGAGAAGGTGAAGCGCCTCTCTCTGTAACTGCATATGTTGACCGTCTCTTAAACACCGCCCAAAATCCTCATAACTTATGCCGCCTATTCGCTGGCTGGATGCCCTTCGCCTAGCTAGCTAGCCAGATAGCTAGCTAGGTAGCTAGCTGGCTAAACAAATGCATAACTTAGCTAGCATAACTTAGCTAGCTAGCTGAAACAATAGATGGCTTGTTAGCTTGATAGCTAGCTAGCTGAAACAATAGATGGCTTGCTAGCTTGATAGCTAGCTAGCTAGCTTGCCATCGCTGGCTAGTCAGCCGTAGTCTTCACTGACGCACAAAAAGCTAGCGAGTGTAAGGGAGTTTGCTGCATGCCTCAGCTAGGTAGCCAAGTGAGATAGCTAGCTGCCCAACCGGGTAGCTAGCTACCCCGGCGAATAGCTAGCCATGCCGCTTGCGACACCAGACAAAGACTCTGCTGCAGCAGGAGCTGCAGAAACGCAAGCTGCGTCAGCAGGAGCTGCAGCAGCGCATTGAAGTACATCGCATTCCGTTGAATGAAGACTGACTCTGGGTCACCTACGAAGCGCCCAGCTAGCTAGCTAGTCAGCTCTTCAGTTAGGTAGCTGGCTAGTTAACCAGTCAGTCAGCTAGTTTGGTACCTTTTACAGTGGCTGACTAGGCTAGCTAGCCTGCTAACAAACAGGTAGTAGCTAGCTGGTTAGCTGCGAACGTGGGGAAGCAGCAGACAACGAAGAGCCTTCGGAGCCGTTGCTGCAGTTGTTGCAGCAGCAGCTGCTGCAGCTGCACAAGGAAATGGTAGTCCCCCGTGGCTGCCAGGACTTCCTCGCTGCTGTGTACTGCAGCAACATCCAAGTATGCATGCACATCTGCTGCTTTAGTTTCATTGATATCCCTTCAGTTACTGTACAGCAACACGTTGCAGCGACTGCAACAGCTGACATCACCAGCAAGATACGCAGCTGGCTTGGGGACCGGCTACCGCATGTAGAAACGGCAGCAGAAGCAGGAAGGTTAACGTCGACAGAAGCAGTAGCAACAGCAGCAGCATTCAAAGCAGCAACATCAGCACCACTCGAACGTCTGCTTTAGGGGCAGCAGCAGCAGCACCGAATTGTAACAGCTAGAGGCTACAGTCAGCAGCATGCGCTGCTGCATCAAGACCTGCTCCTGGAACAGCAGCAGCTCCAATTGCTCATGCAGCAGTAGCCCTACTTGCTCTTACTGGGATCATTTTAATCGGTACTTAACAGCAAGATACAAAATTTATTTGACTGGCCTAAACAACACCAGCAACGGCAGGAACGGCTAGCAGTAAAAGCATCAAAGCCAGTGGCAGCAGCAGCAGTAGCGACAAAGGAAGTGACAGCAGCAACAATTGATGTCCTAAATATAAATAAAAACAAAAAAGAGGAAAACAAATGAAAGACAAGTGCTGTTAAGTCCTTGAAGCATACAGTAGAGAGCCCCAGGGCCCCACGAAGGTGTTGCTGCTGTTGCTGCAGCAGCTGCTCCTGGCGCTGCGTTATGTTGCTACATTGTATTTAATGTGAGGATTTATGTACTGGATCCTCAGGAACGGATAAATTAGGTGGTTCAGAAGAGTTCAGCAGCAGCAGCAGCAGCAACAGCATCAACCGCAGCAGGAGCAGCGAGGCTAAAAGGTCAACTGTATCATCTGCAGCAACAGCAGCCACCCAAGCCATACCAACAGCAGCCCGAGCAGCTGTAGAACAGACAGGGGCAGGACCGGAAGCAGGAGGAGCAGCAGTAGGAGGAGGAGCAGCAATAGAGACAGCGGCAGGAGCAGCAGCGATCCGCTGCATTGTGCATATTTCCCTGCAGCAGCAGCGTCAGAAGCAGATGGAGGAGGTGTGTGTAGATCTAACAGGAGATTCGGGGGATGATGAGGAATCGCAGGGGCCCCCAGGAGGCCCATTAGATGGACCCCAGGGGACCCAATTAAATGGCACCGCAGCTTTTCTGCTTCTGCAGCAACAGCAGCAGCAGCATGAAGGAGAAGAGGAAGAAGAGGAAGATGAAGAAGAAGAGGACGAAGAAGAGATGAATGCTGCAGCAGCTGGATCTGGAACGGAAGGGGAAGGCTACGAGACCGCAGGGCAAGACAGCGAATCAGAAGAGGAAGCAGGAGTAGCTGCTGCTGCTGAAGGAGCAGCAACGGGGGGATCTGATGAGTACAGTTTCGAGGAAGAAGAAACAGATAATGAAGACGCACAAGATGAAGAAGAAGAAGAAATAGAAGAAGAAGAAATAGAAGAAGAGGAAGAAGAAGAAGAAAAAGAAAAAGACGAAAAAGGAGAGGAGGGAGAACAAGAGGAGGGAGAAGAAAAGGAAGGAAGAGAAGAAGAGGAAGAAGAGGGAGAAGCAGCACAAGCCAGCGATGATGATAGTGAGGGAGCAGCAGCAAAAGACCGGGACAAACGCAGTGAGAAAATGACTGCAGCCAACTTATTGCAGCACCAGCCGCGGCAGCAGCCGCGGCAGCAGGAAACCCCTGACGATGCAGAAGAAAGCGAACAGCTCGCCCACAGCAGCACCAGCGGCGGTGGAAGCAGCGGCAACAGGGGAGAGAGGTGCAGTGAGGACAGTAGCAGCAGTCGGAGCAGCAGCAGCAGCAGCAGCAGCTCTGACAAGGGTTCTATGCCATTCTCTTCAGCCGCACCAGGCCTCTTCTCCTTGCAGCAGCAGAAACAGCAGCAGCAGCAGCAGCAGCGCAGCAGAAGCGTGGACGAGCCAGAGGCACATGTAGATGAACCCCGCCAGCAGCAGCAGCAGGAGGAGCAACAGCAGCCATTGGAGGACTTCTCGCAGCAGCAAGAGAAGCTGCAACAGCAGGAGGAAGAGCTGCAGCAGCTGCTGCAGCAGCAGCAGAAGCTACTGCAGCAGGAGAAGCAGCTGCTGCAGCAGCAGCACCAGCAACTCGATGGTTTCTCCTTTCTTCCCCTCACCGCGAGAGCGCAGGTGGCAGCAGCACGTAGAGAAGCATTAGCTGCTGCTCCTGCTGCTACCCCAAACAGCAGCAGCGACAGCAAGGGCAGCAGCAGCACGGGGATTGATTTGTATAGGGAAATAAGAGAAAGGATTCGCGTAGCCACAGCGCAGACGCTTGAAGCCAACAGAAAGCGGCATGAGGTGCTGCTGCAGCAGCTGCAGCAGCAGCAGCAGCAGCAGCAGCAGCCTAGGCCGTCGTTATTTGGCGAGCTTGGTGCATCGTTTTCAGCAGCAACAGCAGCAGCAGTAGAAACAGCAGCAGCAGCAGCAGCACAGAAGGAGGATGCACGTGCACTGCAGAGTAAAGACAAACTGCTAGAAGAGACATTTGGGTGTATTGCTGCTGCATCACTGCAGCCGCTAAAGGGTGAAAATCCAGATTTCTCGGGGTATGCAGCAGCAGCAGCAGCAGCAGCAAGAGTACCAGCAGCAGCAGCAAGAGTACTACCAGCAGCAGCAGCAAGAGTATCAGCAGCAGCAGCTCTGTTTGTATTTTGGGTCGTTTGTTGTTTCCTGTGTTTCTGCAGTTCGCACCTTCTAAATAAAGCAAAGACACAGCGAAAGAGACAATGTAAACCCTAAACTCTAAACCCTAAACCCTAAACACTAATTTATCAAACCGTGCACAAGAGGTTGCCGTATACACAGAGGAGCCTTAGGGTTTAGTGTTGGTGTTTGAGGTTTTGTTTGTGGTAGATGCGGAGTGCGCGTTGCTGGAGACTGTGGAAGACGACAGCAGCAGCAGCAGCAACGGCAGCAGCAGCAGCAGCTCTGCAGAAGCAAGCCTTTGTTGGCTGCAGCAAGCAGCAGCAAATCGACAGCGCTCGGCTCAATCGCTTGGCGGCCGTTTAAATGCAACAAAACTCCGCTGTATCCTCTCCTGCCTATCTCAAGGTAAGCAGTAGCAGCAGCAGCAGCAGAAAAAACATCACCACCAGCAGCGACAGCAACAAAACAGCAGCAGCAAGTGCATGCATGAGATGTGTGCTGCTGCTGCAGAGCAACAGTTGGAGCTGCTGGTAGAAATCGCCGCCCACAGCGAATCCCTCCGAGTTCTTGTAAGAATAAATTAACCCTGAATAATCTAATCAATTAAATTAATTCAACTAATTAAGTTAATTAATTTTAATCTATTTAATTATAAATTAATTCGTAGTAATATAAATAAGGAATAAGGTAAATATGTACGTTTTCATAGGTAATACCGAGTATGTGTTGATTGTATTCATAAGAACTATATAAGAAATATACTACAATTTACTATATACATATTAAATATTTACTGCATATTTTTAATTAATTATAAATATTGTATATTTATTAAATGTAACAATAATTATTATGAATATCCTTGTTTGTCTTTGCCGTTAGGTGGAGGAGAAGGGAAGAGCAATGAGTCTAAAAACCCTCGACGTCTAAACCCTCGGCGCGACTTGCTGCTGCTGCTGCAGCAGCAACAGCAGCAATTGCAGCAACAACCTGTTTTTGGCTACAGACTTTTCTATTTTCTATTTGGTCTATTTGGTCAGACTGCCGTTCTAGATTCTGTTGGTGCTGCTACTGGCTTCTGCTACTGCTCTCGCTGCTGCTGTTACTGCTCTTGCTGCTGCAACTGCTGCTTGACGTTGGAGGCATACAACCAAATATTTGTCTTTGTTTCTACACGAGTTGCTGCCTGCGTGTATACAAGGAGCTGTACAAACACCGCAGGTGCCACTATCGTGCTGCAGCAGCAGCAACAGCAACAGCAGCAGCTGTAGCAGCCACGTGCCGCTGCTGTCACTGTTGCTCCTCCTGCTGCTGTTGCTGCTAAGCAAACAAAAAAGCTGCTGCGGCACCTGCCGCTGCAGCACCATAGCGCTTCAAATAACTCCTTATAATATGACATTGCCTGTGGGGGCAGTAGTGCTGCTGCTGCAAATGCGGCAAAACTGCAGCAACGCCAACAGCAGAAACCCCCAACTCAAACAGGTATCTATGGAATATCGAGCAACTTCTTTATATGCACCACCGTCTTCCAGTCATCCTGCAGCAGCAACATCAACAGAGGAAACAGCAGATGATGACGGTGACAGCAGCAGCACATAATAAAAAGGGGGAGAAATTAAGAAAAAGCGAAAGAGTTAAGAACAAAAAAAATAAGAGCAACAACAAGACTAACAATACGACTAAGAATATTCATAGGGAATAAGCAAAACTTAGGACAAAGAAACCACCAAGAAAAGAACAACAAAGGAATAAAAAGAACAAATAAGGTAGAATAAAGAGAATAAATGAAGTAAAAGAAAAAAAAGAACAAGAATACCAACAAAAGAACAGAAACGGAATAAAAAGGACAAATAAATCAGAATAAAAAGAATAAATAGAGTAAAGGAATAAAAAAAATAAAAAAAATTGCCTACCTTAGTGAGTTCTTCTCTGAAATGTGCCTTAAGACAATCAATTGAACTTCTTGTTAATCGGCTGACGACTTTATTTTTTGCATCAAATTGTCGACCAAACATAACATTTGGTTCTCCGACTATTTTTATACAAACTTCTTGACCAACACGTGCAATATCTACAGGTTTCCTATTTAATTCAACGGATGCTACTGTACCTATACGGAGGTCCTGATAAAAAAAAAAAGAATCAATAGGTATATAAGTATAAATATAATATAGTAAATAATAATAAACAAAAACAAACAGCAAAAAGAGCGACTATTGCAGCAACAACACCAACAGCAGCAACAGAAGCAACAGCAACAGCAACAGTAGGTTTCTGTACTTTCTTACCCCTTTATCAGGTACACAAAGAGGAGTACCAACTTTAAGTATTCCTTCTTCTACAACTACACCAAAAACAATTGGATCTTTTTTATTAAATACATATTGAGGTAATACGGATAAAATACAAGGAAATATTGCTGTCTGCTCTACTTCCTTCCTGTACACAACACACATATACATAAATATACAAGATTATATACATAATAATCATTATTATTACTATTTATTATTATACTAATACTATTATCCTGCCATACTACGCTAATTATGCCGCTGCTACTACTGCCACTACTTCTACTGCTGCTGCTGCTATTAGTACAGTAGTGCTAGTAGCAGCAGCAGCATGCATGCAGCTGCTGCTGTTGTTCGTGTGTATATGGTGTAATGATTTACTTTTTATTTTGTTTATAAGCATTAAAGTATTCAGTAAAAGCATCAAAAAGATGATAAATAATTTCTGCAGAAAAGATACGAACGCCAAGAACTTTTGCTTCTTTTTCTGCCTCTGCATCAATCTTAACATTAAATGCCAATACAACTGAATATTCTCCTTTTCCTTTTTCCCTCATTACTGATGCCCTCTTTATGTCCTTTTTCTGTACTGTGCCTGCATAAATAAATGCATGCATACATATATAATATACATATATATACATAATAGATGCATATATTGTATAACAGACATCAATGCATGCAGGGTGTAATGTAAGCAAAGAGACAACAGAGAACACCAAAGAAAAAGACAAAGTGTCTCCTTTTTTAGTGTCTCCTTTTATGTCTCCTTTCTCTCCTTCTACCACCTTGCCACATCGGCATAAGAGACACTTATAACTCCTATGCCGTACACACTTAGGTGGACTAATAAATACATAGCAGCAGCAGTTGCTGCTGCTGCTGCTGCAGCAGCAGCAGGAAAAGGAGAAGATAGAACAGCACCAATGAATTGAAGCAAACCACAGCAATAAATAGCACCATAGAAGGAGAGAAAAAATGTTAGCAAGGAAACAAAGGAGACACCAAAAGAAGAAGACAAAGGAGAAGAAGTGTCTCCTTTTTGTCTCCCCTTTAGTGTCCCCTTTTATGTCTCCTTCCCCTTTTTTTACCACCTTGCCACATCGGCATAAGAGACACTTTTAACGCCTATGCCGTACACACTTAGGTGGACTATTAGCAGCAGCAGTTGCTGCTTTTGCTGCAGCAGCAGCAGCAGCAGCAAAAGAAAAAGAACAATATTGGACAGCAGCATTGAAACAGATGGAACAAAACGTATAATACAAGAAGTTAAATAAATTGTTAGCAAGGAGACAAAAGAGACACTTAATTGTCTCCTTTTTTGTGTCTCCTTTTATGTCTCCTTTCTCTTCTTCTACCACCTTGCCACATCGGCACAGGAGACACTTATAACACCTATGCCGTACACACTTAGGTGGCTAAATATACACTAAATTAATTAATTACTTTTATTATATTAATTAAATTAATTTAATAGCATTACCAGTAGCAACAACAGCAACACCAACAGCAGCAGCAGCAGCAACAGCAACAGCAACAGCAGCAGGAATATAGTGTATATTTTCTTACCAATACTGACAGCAAAAACGGGTATTTTACATTCTTCAAGATAAACAAGTAATGCCTCAAGAGATCCAAGAGTAGATGCAGCAACAAATACACCACTACCTGTACTATCTACACTTTTTAGTACAGCCCCCATATCCTTCATTACTTCTCCCTCTATATCCGATATACTATCTCCTTCTTCTACAACAAATAATGATGTACCAGCTACTGCCTCATCTAGACCCTAAGAACAACAACAGCAACAGCAACAGCAGCAAGAAAGGTTATATGAGGAACAGGAATAGCAGCAGCAATAGCAGCAGCAGCAGCAACAGCAGCAAATTGAAACAGAATTTGCAGCAAAGATAGGGATCGAAAGAAACTGCAACAATAGTGCTAGCAGCTAGCAGCAAACCATATCATACCACCACCATCAGCAGCAGCAGCAGCAGCAGCAGCAGCAGCATCAGCAGCAAGACAGTATACTTACAGCAGCAACAATCTTAACACCCATAGATGCCTCAACAAAAGAATGACTAATATATTCTCCCTTAACACGTAATTCTTTTAATGGTTGTGGTGTTAATAATGTTCTTATTGTTGTTATTATTGGTCCATGTAATCCGCAGATTACTATCTTATCTCCTTCGTATAATACACCTTGTACTAATATTACATCTATTGTTGTACCTAAACCCTGCAGCAGCAGCAGCAACAACAACAACAACAGCAACAGCAGCAGGAGCAATATGAGCAAGGGTATGGTGCTGTTGATTCAATCCCAGCAGAAATAGCAAAAGCAAGAAGAGCAGCAGAAGCAGCAACAAGTACATCAGCAGCAACAAATACATCAGCAGCAGCATACCTCAATAGCCTTGACCTCAAGAATAGTACACTGCAGCACTCTCCCCTTGTTGTTTTTGCTGCTGCTGCTGCTGCTGCTACTGCTGCTGCTGCTGCTGTTATTATTTTCAGGTTTTGTATCAAATATAGAAGGAATTTTTGTGATGGATTTTTGCATTAAATTTTGATTAAGAGAACAAATTAGATGAATTAAATCAGCAATTCCTTCTCCTGTATGTGCAGATGTAGGTATAACAGATACATAACGACGTATATCCTCATTCTTCCAATATAATGAACAATTAAATCCTTCCTCTGCTAACTGCAGCAGCAATAACAACAACAGCAAATGCAGCAAATGCAGCAGCAGCGCAAGAGCAGCAATAGAAGCAACAGCAGAAAAATAATCTGTGCAAGTAGACGAGAAAGAGAAAAAACAAGGAAAGGTTTCTACTGCAAACTGCAGCACCAACAGCAGCAACAGCAGCAAGAGCAACAGGAGCAGCAAGAGTATAAATACCTGTAATTGTACACCTTCCCATCTTGTATAGAATTCACTTTCTGTTTGTTGCTGCTGTTTCTGCAGCAGCAAGGGGAAATTATATCCCCAACTTTCTTCTTTCCATCCATAAAGACGATCTATTTTATTTAATGCAATTACAAATGGACAACGACGTTGACGAAGAAGAGATAATGATTCACGTGTCTGTAACTCCATACCCTGTAAATACGTATATATACGTACATATACATATGCATATATACATATACATATATTTATATACATATAGTTATATACGTATATTCACGAGTCTGTAACTCCATACATTGTATACATATACATATGTATATACGTATGAGTATACGTATATATACATATAATATTTATATAAGTAAATTTACGTGTCTGTAATTCCATACCCTGTATACGTATACGTACATTACATATACATATACATATACATATACTGATACAGGTATTTATATACATACTTATACATATATTTAATTAATTTAAGTAATTTAATTACTTAATTAATTAATAAATTAATAAATTAATTATTAATATAAAATAAGGACTTACATGCATAATATCTATAACAAGAATAGCTAAATCACAAAGAGAAGATCCTCTTGCTCGTAAATTAGCAAAGGATGCATGCCCTGGTGTATCAATAACTAATAAACCTGGTAGTCGTAAATCTACATCCTTATTTAACTGCAGCAGCAGCAGCAGCAGCAGCAACAGCAGCAACAGCAGCAAATACAGGAGCAAATGATGCAGCAGGTATGTTACAGATGCAGCAGCAGATGATACAGGGATACAAGAGACAACGCTAAGAGGAGAAGAAGCAGCAAGGATGGTGGCAGTTCTGTCTGCTGCTGCTGCAGTTGCTGCAGCTGCTGCTGCTGTTGCTGCTGCTTACCTTGATACATTGTTCTAATAGAGCTTCCTTAGGGAAGAAAGTTGCACCAATCTGCTGAGTAATTCCCCCCGCCTCTCCTAATTGAACATTTGTACGACGAATCTTATCTAATAATTTCGTCTTACCTATACATAAACCCTAAACCCTAAACCCTAAACCCTAAACCCTAAACCCTAAACCCTAAATCCTAGATAGTAAACCCTAGATCATAAACCCTATGTAATAAAGAATACACGATAAACCCTAATGGATAAACCCTGAAGGAAAAACCCTAAACCCTAAACCCTAATATTTACCTGTATCTACATGGCCCATAATACAGCAAATCGGAGAACGCAAAGTGGGCTTGCGCTTCGGTTTGCTGCTGCTGCTGCTGCTGCTGCTGCTGCTGCTGTTGCTGCTGCTGCTGCTCGTTGCTGCTTCTGCATCCGGTGATTTAACAGTGACTTTTTTCCCTGCCTTGTCTGCTGCAGGTGATGTTGCTGTTGTTTCTGCTTTTGCTGCTTCTGCTGCTGCTGCAGCTTCTGCTTCTGCTGCAGCTTCTGCTTCTGCTGCTGCTGCAGCTTCTGCTGCAGCATGCTGCAGCGCCTGCTCCATTGCTGCTCTCTTACGAACATCCCCCACCTGATGAGACCGCTTCTTCTCTCCTCCTGCGGCTGCTGGTGCTGCAGCTGCTGCTGCTGCTGCTGCTGCTGGGCTCGTCTCCGAGGCGTCTACCTCACCTAACAGCGCCTCCCAATCATCGACAGGAGCTGCAGATGCAACACAAACACACACTCTGCTGCTGCTGCTGCTGCTGCTGCTGCTGCTGCTGTTATTCCTGCTGCAACTGCAACTACTACTACTACTACTACTACTACTACCACTGCTGCTGCTGCTGCTGCTGCTGACCCTCTGCAGGTTTGTCAGGTGTCGATGCTTTATCTTCTTTGAGGCCTTCGAGCTCTTCTCGCAATTTAAGAAGACGCTGTCTTTCTGCTTCTGCTTCTGCTGCTTCCCGCTGCTGCTGCTGCTGCAGTCGTCTTTCTCTATCCCTTTTTTTTCTTTCTTTTTCTGCTGCTGCTCTGCTGCCTGGTGATTCTCCTTGTGGTGATACTCCTGCACCTCCTTCTGCTGCTGCACCTGGGGAAAGAGCAGCAGGTACAAGACCTTGCTGCTGCAGCTGCTGCAGGTACTGCTGCTGCTTCTTCTGCTTCCGCTGCTCTCTTGCTGACAGCAACTTTCCTTCCTCTTTTAATTTTTGTTTTTTTTCTGCTTTTTTCTTCGCTTTTAATTCTTTTTCTTCTCTTTTCTTCCTTTCCTCCTCCTCAGCCCTATATATAATAGATAAAACACACAACAATATGCTGCTGCTGCTGCTGCTATTGGTGCTGCTGTTGCTGCTGCTGCTGCTGGTTGTACTGCAGTTCATACTACTACTCATATTGCTGCTAATGCCGCTGTCTTTATTATATACAGGCTACATTCCCCTATCCCTAAACCCTAAACCCTAAACCCTAAACCCTTACTTTCTTTTGAGTTCTTCTTCCTCCTTACGCAACCTTTCCTCCTCTTCCTCCTGCAGCTTCTGCTGCTGTTGCAGCAGCAAAAGGCGCTGCTGTGCAGCACGAACTGCAGCAGACACGGGGCCCTTCTTTGCTGCTGCAGCCTGAGGTCATAACAGCAGCAAATAAACAACGCGCCTGCTGATGTCTTTGCTGTTGCTGCTGCACCCAGCAGAATAATCAGGCAGCAACAGCAACAGCAGCAAGTCATATCAGCATAAACAGCAGCAGCAGCAGATATCAACAGAATCAGCAGCAGCAGCAGCAGCAGCAGGAAGGAATTGTAGCTAGGGTATTATAACAAGAGAAGTTATTTGCTTCTCCTGTCATCTTCATCCTGCTCTTCTGTGTTGCAGCAGCACATAGCCCAAAGGGCAACATGAATACCCTAAGGGTCGTACTAAATCCGCTGCTGCTGCTGTTGCTGCTGCTGCTGTTGCTGCATCAGCAGCTACAGCAGCAATAAAAACAAGAGAAACACAAGCAAAAAGAAAGAAAAGAAGAACAGCCAGCAACAACAACAGCAGCAAGTGATATCAGCAGAATCAGCAGCAGCAGCAGATATCAACAGAATCAGCATCAGCAGCAGCAGCAGCAGCAGCAAGAAGGAATTGTAGCGAGGTTATTATAACAAGAGAAGGTATTTGCTGCTCCTGTCATCTTCATACTGCTCTTCTGTGTTGCAGCAGCAATAAAATAATATCTAAAAAAAAAGAAAAGAGGAAGAAAAAGACTTACTGGTTTGGGGGCCTCGTCACTAGAAGAGGAGGAAGCCTTCTGCTGCTGCTGCTGCTGCTGCTGCTGCTTCTTTTTCTGTCGTCTTTGTGCTGCACGACTTAACTTCCCCTGTCCTGCTGCTGGTGCTGCTGCTGTATCATCTTCTGCACCTGCTGCAGCAGCAGGGCTCTCTGCTGCTGCTGCTGCAGGGGAAGGAGTTGCTGCTGCTGCTGCTGGGGAAGGAGCTGCTGCTGCTGATGTAGGTGTGCCGCCCTCTATTTCCTGCAGCAGCGCGTCAATGTCATCATCATCTGCTGCTGCTGCTGCTCCTTTCCCCTTCTTCCCCTTTGCTGCTGCTGGTGACGTCTGTGCTGCCTTTTCTGCTGCTGCTTTTGGTGCTGCCTTTGCTGCTGCTTTTGCTGCTGCTGCTGCTGCCTTTCCTTTAGGGGGAGAAGGTGCCTCTATCTCCGCCAATAATTTATCAAGATCCTCATCCTCCTGTGCATACACCGCAAACACGCAGTTGCTGCTGCTGCTGCTGCTGCTCGTGCTCCTGCTGCTGCTCGTTCTGCTGTCCAGACAGGAGTAGCAGCAACATCAACAAATCAACGGCAGCAACAAAGCAGCAGCAGCAGGGAATGCTGCTGCTGCTGCTAACAGAACAGCAGAAAAACGGGCAGCTTCTGTGCTCACCTGCGGAGATCGTTTCCCCTTCTTTGCTGCTGCAGCAGCTGCAGCAGGGGAGACTGCAGCAGCAGCAGGTGCTGCTGTTGCTGCTCCTTTTGCTGCACCTTTACCTCCTGGGGAAGGCGACCCCTTTGTTGATACTTCTTCCTCCGCTTCGGAAGAATCACTAACCTCGCTGCTGCTGCCGCTGCTGCTGCTGCTGCTGCTGCTGTCACTGTCGCTGTCGCTATCACTGCCGCTGCTGCTGCTGCTGCTGCTGCTGCCACTACTACTAGAGAGAGCAGCGAATGCCCTCCTCGGCTTTGCTGCAACTACTGATTCCTCGCTGTCACTGCTGCTCTCCTGCAGCAGCAGCAGCAACAACAACAACACAGCAGCAGCAACAGCAGCACGAAATACACATAAGCAAACGTTGTGCTGCTGCATCTATTGTTCCTGTGCTATTCCTGCATCTGCAATTGTTCCTGCTGCTCTTGCTGCTGCTGCTGCTGCTGCTGCTGCTGCTTACCTCAATGGCAGGAGGTGGTACTTTATCTTCTTCTTCTGATGTCTCAGCAACCTGCTGTTTTCCTTTTGCTGCTCTTTTCTGCTTTTTTGGCGCCATTTTCTCTATTTATTTATTTATTTATTTATTTATTTATTTATTTATTTACTATTTATTTAATTTATTTATTTATTTATTTAATTTATTTATTTATTTACTTTATTTTATTTTATTTACTTATTTAATCTGTTCTATTTCTAATCAAATAAACTGCAATTACTCAAAAAATGACTAAAAGAAACAGACACCTACTGCTGCTGTTGCTGCTGCTGCTGCTGCTGCTGCTGATGCTGCTGATGCTGATTATGCTGCTGCTGCTGATGCTGCTGATGCTGCTGAGCGACTACTGTTGTTGCTGCAGCAGTTGCTGCTGTAGAGGTGAACAATACAAGATGCCCTTAGAGTCTCGGCGATGCTGCTGTTGCTGGCGCCGCTGCTGCTGCTCCTGCTGCTGCTGTCAATGAAGGGAAGTAAAAAGAAGTGCAACAGAAACGAAAGACAGCTGAATAATGCAATGGCTAGGATTCAGTTGTCTGTACACCGCGGGTTGCTACTGTGGGGCGCTCCACACTGCAGCAGCGACTGCTGCAGCAGCAGCAGCAAAACTAGCCGCACAGCACGAGGCAGCAGCACGCAATAACCATAAACCCCTTTATGTTCTCGCTGTCGAAATGTGGAGCTGCTGCTCGGATTCTTAAGACAGCTGCTGCTGCTGCTGATCTCGCAGTGCCGCTGCTGCTGCCGCTGCTCCAGCGCGAGCAGTGGCGCTGCAGCCCCGTACAGGTACCCAGCCCCGAGGTGTATGTACACCTCAATAAAATGAATATTAGTTAAATTTTATTGTTAATTAAATCATTGTCGCTGCAGGGAACACTGCAACGGGAAAGTTTAGTCAAAGGCGGGCTCTGCTGCTACTGCAGCCGCAGCCGCTGCCAACAACAGCAGCAACAGCAGCAGCAGCAACAGCTAATATATATAGATGCAGCTAAAAGACACTTAGCTGCTGCGTCTTTATTGAGGCAGCATTACCATCTTCGCGCATGCGCTGCCTCGTTGCCTTCCCGCCTAGCCGCAACCTGCTGCTCCTGTTGCTGCTGCCGTTGCTACTGCTGCTGCTGCAGCTGCTGCTGCTGTTGCAGTGGTCTCGTGGGGTTGCTGCTGCTCGGCTCGACTCTGCAGCCTTCCTGCGGCTCAGCAGCAGCTCGCTGGTGCAGGCGGCACCCAAGTCGTGGCTCTATTCCCCTCAAGTAGGAGTCCCAACAGCAGCAGCAACAACAGCAGCAGCAACAACAGCAGCAACAGCAGCAGCAGCAAAAAAGTCTTCTGATATTGAAGGATTTGGGGCTTTCGAAGCTTTGATTAAAGAAATTCAAGAGGAGCAATCGAAGGAGGAGCAGCAAACCCCGAAAACCACCGACGCGTAAACCCTAAACCCTAAACCCTAGTTTCTATTCCTAAACCCTACTTCTGTGCCTCACACTATCCTTTATAAACCCTAAACCCTTTCGGAGTCCTAATGCTAAATTTAGGGTTTCCCTGTTCTTGTATGAATGTTTAGGGTCTACGAGGGTTTACGAGGGTTTGGGGTTTATGAGGGTTTAGGGTTTATGAGGGTTTAGGGTTTATGGGGGTTTAGGGTTTATGAGGGTTTGGTTATCAGGCATCGAGAACCTTCAGAGGAGGACAGTCGCGCCCCAAAAGATTTGCTGCTGCAGCACCCCGTCGTGCTGCAGCACCAACGAGGAAAATGTAGTGGCTGTGGAGCTGCCTTTCATGTGAGTTTGCTGCTGTTGTTGTTGTTGCTGCTGTTGTTGTGGCTACTGCTGCTGCTGCTGCTGCTGTTGTTGTGGCTACTGCTGCTGCTGCTGCTGCTGTTGTTGTTGTAGACTGCATGTTGCATTTGTTTGTGTGTTCAGGGGTCGAGACCCGAGGCTGCAGGTTACCTTCCTGCTCACCTGCTGCAGCAGGTGCTGCAGCAGCAGCAGCAACAACCGCAGCAACAGCCGAAGCAGCAGCAGCAGCAGCAGCAGAAACGGAACCATAAGCGTGGAACTCTTAGTGCCCTCTTTGCTGCTGTGAACAAACTGAGGAGTGGTGCTGCTGCTTTCCCTGATGATGATGATGATGACGATGATGATGATGATGCAGCAGCAGCAGCAGCAAGAGCAGCAGCAGCACCTGCTGCTGGTGAGTATGAGGTGTCTAATGATGTTACGCAGCTAGCAGCAGAATTAGCAGCAGCAGCACCAGGCACTAATGCAATGGATGTAGAGAAGGCCCTAATTACTCTTGCTATGTATAACCGTGACCCTGGCGAAGCCAAGCAACAGCAGCAGCAGAAGCGGCGGCAGCAGCAGCAAAAGGAAGAGCAGCAGCAGCAGCAGCAGCAGCAGCAGCAGCGGAATTTGTGGCGTCCTGAGGGGTTTGAAGCTTTTCATCCTATTGAACAGCCACAAGAAATTATACAAACAGAGGAGCCACCAGCTCCTGCTGAGGTACAGCTTGCTGCTGCTGCTGCTGCTGCTGCTGCTGCTGCAGTTGCTAGTGCTGGTGCTGTTGCTGGTCCTGCCGCTTTTATACTGCTGTGTGTCGGTTGGTTCTGCCTTCTGCTGTTTAATGCTTCTGCTACTAATGGTTTGCTGCTGCTGCTGCTGCTGTTGCTGCTGCTGCTGCAGCCCCACATCATCTGCATGCGCTGCAATTCTCTTAGATTTGGAAGCAAAGGAAAACCCGCGCATGCAAATATCGGTGAGGGTTTAGGGTTTAGGGTTTAGGGTTTAGGGTTTGAGGCTTTTGTAGCGTCTAACAATCCAGCAGCAGGAGCAGCAGCAGCAGCAACAGCAACAGCAACAGCAACAGCAACAGCAGCAGCAGCAGCAACTGATATGTTGTGTGCTGCAGTAAAAGAATCAATAGAAGAGAGAAGACAACGAGGCATAAGATTAGTTGATTCTCTGCAGCACAAACGGTGGGTATACACCCCAGTAAATAAATAAATTATATAAATAAATAAATAAATAAATTAATTAATTAAATAATTAAATTAAATTAAATAAATTAGATGAAATATTTTGCTGCTTCTGTTGCGCTGCTGCTGTTACTGTTGCTGCTGCTGTTTCGGTTTGTTTTCTACCGTTGTTGCTGCACCTGCTGCTATTGCTGCTATTGCTGCAATTGCTGCTGCTGCTGTTGCTGCAATTGCTGCTGTTGCTGTTGCTGCTGTTGCTGTTGCTGCAGTTGTATATTTGTCTTAGTAATAGATGCTCTTACATTGGATATACCTAAGGAAGTATTGAGGTGTATATACACCCCAAATCCTCTATTTATTGCCATTAATAAATGCGATTTGCTGCCTAAGAAACCCCCATATATGACGGGGAAGGGACCAAGGACATTAGCACAACAAGTTGTGCTGCAGCAGCTGCTGCAGCGCAGCAGCGGCAGCAGCAGCTGCGACAGCAGCAGCAGCAGCAAGTGGAAGGGGCGCACCATAAAAAAGATGCCTGTAGGAAGCAGAGTGCATTTGGTGGGGCAGTGTGCTGTTGCTGCTGTTGCTGCTGCTACTGCTGCTGCTACTACTACTGCTTTTTATTTGCTGTTGCTGCTGCTGCTGCTGCAGATTATTTGCTCGCTTCCTGTTGGTAATGCTGCAGTGTGCTGCTGATGTTGCTTCCTTTGCTGCATTTCCTGCTGTTGCTGCTGCTGCTGCTGCTGCAGGTGAGTACAAAGACAGGAGAAGGATTAAAGGAGTTATTTAATGCTGTTGCTGCAGAGGGAGAAAAAAGAAAAAGAAATATTTATTTATTAGGGGAAGAAAATTGTGGCAAAAGTTCAATATGTAATTGGATTATTAATAAATATCAGCAGCAGACACATGTAGGCTTGCTGCTGCTGCTGCTGCTGCTGCTGCTGCTGCTGCTGTTGCTGCTGCTGTTGGTGCAATTGCTGCTGCTGTTGGTTGTTATGCTGCTTGTTGTTGTGTTGCTACTTTTTGTGGTTGTGTTGCTGATGCTTGTTGTTCTGCTGCTGCTGCTGCTGCTGTTGCTGCTGCTGCTGCTTCTAGAGGTAGCAACATTACATGTCTAAATGTAGCTCTTCGTGGTGTGTTTCTCCTCTGCTGTTGCTCTGTTCTGCTGCTGCTCCTTTCTGCTGTTTCTGCTGCTGCTCCTTTCTTGTGCTACTGCTGCTGCTGCTGCTCCTTTCTGCTGCTGCTGCTGCAGCAGCAGCAGCAGCAAAATGGTCGTTCAGGTGTAACAGTGAGCCCATTTCCATCAACAACGAATGATTTTCTTTTTTTATTTTTTTCTTCAAATTCAAAATTAGCTGATGTACCGGGATTCTTATCTAATCATTCTCTTAATTCTATACTGACGCAGGTAGGCTCCTGCTGCTCCTGCTGCTCCTGCTGCTGCTCCTGCTGCTCCTGCTCCTGCTCCTGCTGCTGCTGCTGATGCTGATGCTGCTGCTGTTGGTGTTGGTGTCTGGATTCTTATCTAATCATTCTCTTAATTCTATACTTACACAGGTAGGCTCCTGCTCCTGCTGCTGCTGCTCCTGCTCCTGCTGCTGATGCTGCTCCTGCTGCTGATGCTGCTGCTGCTGCTGATGCTGCTGCTGCTGTTGGTGTTGATGTTGATGCTGGTGTTGATGATGTTGGTGTTGGTGTTGGTGTTGGTGTCTGGATTCTTATCTAATCATTCTCTCAATTCAGTACTTACACAGGTAGGGACCTGCTGCTGCTGCTGCTGCTGTTGCTGCTGCTGCTGTTATGTTAACAGAGGGAGGTGGCTCTTTATTCTTCTGCTTCTCCGCTGCATAGCAGCAGCATAAGATTAGAGGAAGGAGAAGGTTTGCTGCTGTCTCCTTTCGGGTGTATATACAACTCAACACATGCTGCTGTATTTATTTCCTTAATGATTAATAAAAATATACCTATTAAACCCCTTAATAAGCAAGCAGTGCAGCAGATGCTGCAGCAAAGGGAACTGCAGCAGAAACAACAGCAGCAACAGCAGCAGCAGCAGCAACAGCAGCTACAGCAGCTACAGCAACAAGAACAAAAATTGCAACAGCAGCAACAACAGCAGCACGAAAGGTACCACAAGCTTGTTTATCCTTCTTTGCTTATTTGTCTCTCATTAATTTATTATTAATTAATTAATTTAATTAATTAATTAAATAAATAAATTAATTTAATTAAGTAGCACAAGCAGCTTTTGCTGCTGATGTTGCTCTCTGTTGCTGTTGCTGCTGCTGCTTGCATATTGAATTGTTCTGTTCTGTTTGTCTGCAGCAGCAAATCGCCTCCATCTGCTGCTGCTGCTGTTGCTGCTGCTGCTGCTGCTTCCTTCCCTAAGCATGAGACACTCCAAGTAAATATTTCTGTATAACTAATTATTATCTATTATTATGTATATAGTATAGTTATATTATATAGTTTATTTGTGCATATGTATGTATATATATCAAAGCTGCTACCTACTGTTGCTGTTGCTGCTGTTGCTGCTGCTGCTGCTGCTGCAGTTGCAGGGTCGTGGTTGGAAGACAGGAGCAGCAGATTTAATTATTGGAGAATTTGGTTGGCTAACAGTAACAGGAGCAGGACCATTAACTCTCTCCTTGCTGCTGCCTGATCAGGTTTGCTGCTGCTGCTGCTGTTGCAGTTACAGTTGGTGCTGCTGCAGTTTGTGCTGCTGCTGCTATTACTGCTCACCTGATTCTGCTAGAGTATGCATGCGTTTGCTGCTGCGCCTACTGCTGCTTTCGTTGCTGCTCTCTGTGGTTACTGAGGGGGTTTTATTAGGGTTTAGGGTCTTAGGGTTTAGGGTTTATGTTGCTTAGGGTTTAGGGTTTATGTTGCAGGTTCATTGGCGATTAAGGGAAGAAAGTATTCTTCCTCATCCGCTGCAGCTGTGTCCTGCCCTGAGCGCTGATGGCTTCAGGCGTAAGTGCATGCAGCTGCAGCAGCAGCAGCAGCAGCACGCAGAGGGCAACAGCAACAGTAAACGGCAACAGAAATGAGGGACGGGTACTTGTTTCTATATATTGATGCCAACGTAACAACTATTATAGTCTAAGCCTAACAGCAACTGCTGCTGCAGCAGCAGCAAGAGCAGCAGCAACAGCGTTGCTGTTGCTGCTGAGGTGAGGTGGTGCTGAGGGTTTCGACCGTCTTAGGTCTTAGGGTTTAGGGTTTATGATGAGGAAATAAGAAAAGAAACAAACAACCAACGCTGGGGTTTTATAAACCCTCATCCCTCAACACAAGAAGGGAGAGGGTTTAGGGTTTAGGGTTTAGGGTTTGTGCTAGACCCCTCTTCTCCAGTGTTACACGTACCAAACCCTATATAAGGGTTTGGGATTTATAAACCCTAAACCCTAGGGTTTAGGGTTTACACACACAAATCATGACTGCCTAAGCAGCCACGGTGTACAGGGACGGGCATAACACAAAAACAAAAAAAAAGAGAAACGCTGCCATTAAGTTTTCTCTTCCGACACGCGTTGCTGCTGCTGCTGCTCTTGCTGCTGCTGCTGCTGGTGACGCTGAGACACCGCTGCTGCTGCTGCTGCTGCTGCAGCATCTGTGTCTGGTACACTGCGATATAACATTCAACAATGAAATATGGAGTCGCTTAGGCGGCGATGGTGCTGCTGCTGCTGCTGCTGCTGCTGCTGCTGTGCTCAGCGGCCTTGGTGCTGCTGCTGCTGCTGAGGTGGTCAGCGGCTTCAGTGCTGCTGTGGATAATAGCAGCAAGAGTAGAGAACTCCCCAGGTGCTGCTGTTGAGGTAGAGCTGCTGCTGCTGGTCACGTCAGATTCGACGCGCAGATTGCGGCGTGCTGCTGCAGTGCTGCTGCTGCTGCTGTGCTCAGCTGCTGCAGTGCTGCTGCTGCCCTCGTGCTCTCCTTCCTCTGTGCGGTTGAAGTCAAGGAAGTTGGGTGCAATAGTGGAGGTTGTGCTGATGCCCTCCTTCTCGGGTGCTGCAGTGCTGCTGCTGCTGCTGCTGCTCTCCTCTTCTTCTCCAAGGCTGCGGTGTTCTGCTGCAGTGCTGCTGCTGCTGCTGAGCTTGTCGGCTGCTGCAGTGCTGCTGCTGCTGCTCTCGTGCTCTCCTTCCTCTGTGCGGTTGAAGTCAATGAAGTTGGGTGCAATAGTGGAGGTTGTGCTGATGCCCTCCTTCTCGGGTGCTACAGTGCTGCTGCTGCTGCTGCTGCTCTCCTTCTCTTCTCCGAGGACGCGGCGTGCTGCTGCAGTGCTGCTGCTGCTGCTGAGCTTGTCGGCTGCTGCAGTGCTGCTGCTGCCCTCGTGCTCTCCTTCCTCTGTGCGGTTGAAGTCAAGGAAGTTGGGTGCAATAGTGGAGGTTGTGCTGATGCCCTCCTTCTCGGGTGCTGCAGTGCTGCTGCTGCTGCTGCTCTCCTTCTCTTCTTCTCCAAGGCTGCGGTGTTCTGCTGCAGTGCTGCTGCTGCTGCTGAGCTTGTCGGCTGCTTCAGTGCTGCTGCTGCTGAGCTTCTCGGCTGCTTCCGTGCTGCTTCTGCGGAGGAAGCAAGGCAGAGGCAGAGTTGAAGAAGATTCAACTGGTGCTGCTGTTGAAGTAGAGCTGCTGCTGCTGCTCTCCTCCTCCTCTTCTTCTCCAAGACTGCGGTGTTCTGCTGCAGTGCTGCTGCTGCTGCTGAGCTTGTCAGCTGCAGTGCTGCTGCTGCGGTGTAGGTCAGCTGCTTCTGTGCTGCTGCGGTGTAGGTCAGCTGCTTCTGTGCTGCTGATGCGGAGGATGCCAGCAAGAGTGCTGGACAGTTCCTCTGGTGCTGCAGTGGTAGTGCTGCTGCTGCTTCTCCTTTCTTCCTCCTCCTCGTCCTCGTCTACAGCGCTGAGGCGGCGGCGGGGTGCCTGCGTGCTGCTGCTGCTGAGGTGGTCACCTGCTGCTGCAGTGCTGCTGCTGTTGCCTGCGGCTTCAGTGCTGCTGCTGCTGCTGAGATGCTCTCCCTCACGAGTTGAGGCTTCTCCTGGTGCAGCGGTGGAGGTAGAAGAGCTGCTGCTGCCGTTGCTGCTGCTGTCTTCTTTCTTCTCAATTTTTTCTTTTTCTCTTTCCTCTCTGCTTTCTTTTATTCCTTGTCCTTCAACATCATCATCATCTTCTTCTTCTTTTTCTTCTTTTTCTTCTTTTTCTTTTTTCTCTGCTATTTCCTCATGGCTGATGCTGGCACCGTTACCGTTGCGTAGGCTACCATTGCTGCTGCTAATTCCACTGCCGTTGCGGAGGTTGCCATTTCCGTTGCTGTTGCGGAGGTTGCCATTGCTGCTGCTGATGCTTCCGTTGCTGCTGCTGCTAATGCTGTCAGCATTGCTGCTGATGCTGTCATTGCTGCTGTTGCTGATATCGCTGCTGTTGCTGATATCGCTGCTGTTGCTGATGTCGCTCCTGTCGCTGCTGATATCGTTGCTGCTGCTGCTGCTGATATCGTTGCTGCTGCTGCTGCTGATATCGTCGCTGCTGCTGCTGTTGGCAATAGCTGCTGCATGTTTTCTTTCGTACTGCTGAATAGCATCTCTAAGCTGCTGCAGTTGCTGCTCGAAGGCGCCACTCTGTACGTACTGCTGCAGCTGATGGTCGAACTGCTGCAGATAATCCTTGTAGCGACGGACGAATGCTCTGAAGGCAAGAATTACTTCTCCTTCATTTATATCCAAATCTCCAAGCTGCTGCTGCAGCTTCTCTAATGCATTTTCCTCACTACCGTTGCTGCTGCTCTCCTGAATTATAGCCAACTCGACCAACTCGGGTGACAGATCATCAGAGTCGCTGCTGCTTAAGCTGCTGCTGCTGCTGCTGCTGCTGGCGAGTTCTGCTGGGAGAGTAGACTTCAGGAGATCTACTGCTGCAGTTGAAGATATATCGAGATCAGAAGCTGCTAATGTGCTGCTGTTGCTTATGTCGTCCTGTAAGGGACTGATGGTGCTGGTGCTGCTGATGCTGAGGCGGTTGCCGCTGCCGTTGCCGTTGATGTGGCTGTGGCTGCCGTTGCCGTTGTCGTCTAAGCGCTGCAGCACACGGAGAAGAGCGGCGTCTTCTGCTGTTCTGTTGCGGTTTCTGTTACCCAACAGTCCACTTAGTTGTGGAAGGCGGCCGAGTGCGGGTCTGCTGCTGTTGCTGCTTCCGCTGCTGCCTACAGATGACAGTCTGTTTCCATCATCTACTTCCTCTGTCTCCTCCTCAGTGGTGGTGGTGGTGCTGGTTATCACCTCACTGAGCAGCTCGTCACGTGCTGCAGGAGACAGAGACAGCCAAAAGGTGTTTATGCTTGATAGAGCTACGGCAGCAAGCTCGATGGTAGCAGATTCGTCAAGGCCAGCAAGCTCTCCACCACTGCTGCTGCTGCTGCTATCACTGCTGCCAATATTGCTGCTGTTAAGACGGCCATCATTGCCTATGGTCAAGAGAGACCCTCTTAAGCCGAAAGGACGAGAAGCAGCACCAAGTTGGTTCCTGTTGCTGTTCCCACTTCCTGCTGCTGCTGCAGAGTTGGTGCTCACAGCACTTAAAGCAATGAGGGCACCGAGGCCCTTAATAAAGATGGGTGCCATCTTACAATATAAGATATTGGTATAGGAGGTACGCAAACTATTCACAGAGAGGGACACCGCAGTAGTAGGCCTTTATAATCAAACAATCAAGCAAACGAACACCTAACGCAACAACAAAACAAGTATTTGGTGTTGCGATTCGGCGAGTAAATAGAAGAAAACAAGAATTGTGGCACCTGCAGCACAAATAACTTTAGCTGCGCAACAGCTGCAGCTAACTGCTCGCCGTTGCCTACGGGGGGAGTGACCTCAGCAGTGACTCGCCAGCGAACCGCCGATAGCTGTTGGGTCGATCGCACCACTGAATATGGCTATTTATAGCTGCTTTTTAGACCTTTTTGCTGCTTTTTCTACTAATATGTTTAATGTTTATTTATTTATTAACGCCAAATCCAATTTAACCATAAAAGATAGGCAGATCACCCGCATCGACCATCCAGCACACGCGCGCCGCCGCTCGGAGCACCGCTAGTCGCCACCGAAGCAATTAAAGGGAAGAAATAGAATTTTATGCAGATAATTTCCACTTAAACTAACTCCTTATTATTCTTAGGCACATTGTTTTACGTATTTTAAGGGGTGTCACGCCCCCCCAACGTTATTTTTCTTATGAGTTCTACTAGAGGCGGAAAATCGATATCCGTCGCCGACAGTCGTCACCGTCCTTATAGTCCTCCCTGATAGTTAGACACTTTTCTTTTGTTGTTTTTCTTGTTTTTTGTGTTTATTTTGATTAAATTGATTAGACTAATTACATTAAACGTCCAAAGTTGGCACATTTAGAGCCCAATGTTGTCCTACGGAACGGAGCAACGAGGCCCTTGTCGGCAGTGACCCCTTCTATATCTAAACCCTAAACCCTAAACCCTAAACCCTAAACAGTATTTATTCAGGTGTACATACACCTTAACAAACACATTTTAAACCTTATTAGACAACAAAGGAGGTACAAATAGATCCACGTGGGCTGCCGCTTTTGCCGCCGCTGTTGCTGCTGCATTGCTGCTGTTGCTGTTGCTGCTGTTCTGTCGTCACTTCCGTTGTTTCTGCCGTTGTTGTTGCTGTCGTTGTTGTTGCTGCTGCTGTTGTTGCTGCAGCTGCTGTTGTTACTGCTGCTGCTGTTGCTGCTGCCGCTACTGATCACTTGCGGATATGCAGTCACAAACGGAGCATAAGGGCCTGTAGAAAAACCCTAAACCCTAGTAGGGTTTAAACCCTAAACCCTGTACAGTATTAAACCCTAAACACTAATAAGGCACTATAAACCACAATCCCTTCGCACTAGACAGTAACGCCTAAACCCTAAACCCTAAACCCTAAACCCTAAACCCTAAACGAACCCTTGAGTAAGTAGTAAAACTTTAACTGTTTTATTTAATATTTAAATTATTATAATAATTATTTACGCATTTGTTTTCTTGTGCTGTTGTTTACTTATATATTAATAAATAAATATGTTATAGAAAGTTTATTATTGTATATTGTATACATTTACCGAATAATCAGCAGCAACAGTTGCTGCTTTTGTTGCTGCTGTTGCTGAGGTTGTTGCTGCTGCTGCTGTTGCTGCACATTGAGGAATGTTTTGTGGCTGTTGCCGCAATGGCAGAAGCCACAGCAGCAACAGAAATGCAGCAGCAGCAGCAGCAGCAGCAGCAGCAACTGCTTGAGTTAATATATTTCGTGGTTATTTCTTCCTCGCTCCTAGCACGGTATAAAAGAGCTAGAATAAATTTCTTTTTCCTTTTATCTTTTATGTATAGCTGTCTATACACCTCAATATTAAGGTATAATGTTTAATGTATAACATAACAAGGAAATAAAACAAAATATAGTAAACATTAATATACAGACAGCAAGGAAACGGAGCAGCAAAACAAATTAAACATTCATATAAAGGAAATATACTAAATAAAAATAAAACATGAAGAAATAAATTATAAAAAGTTTATAATTATCCTTTATTATGAATAAAAAAAGAAATAAATAAACAAATAACATTATTTAATGTATTTTTCTTATTTCTTCTGTAGGCTCGCCGCCGCCTCGGCTGGTCGCGCGTCGGCTGCGCCTGTGGGGTAACCAGCGGTTAAATATTATCAGCAAAAAGGCAATAAATAAATGAAATAAAATAATATTTAATATATTTAAATAATTAGAAAGGAAATTTCATTAGTTTTTGCCTTTTTTACGGTTATTTTCTTAATAAAATAGCCTCTATATGTATATAAGGTATGCAGTGGTTACCTTAACCTGTCACGTGTGCAGGCAGGAGGCGAGAAAGTGTGCATTTAATCCCTAAAAAAACAGCCAAAAACTATAAAAAAAAGAGCAGAAATTTAAATATTAAATTAAACAAAAAGCCGTTTATTTAAATTGTTTTTAAAGGAGAAAATTTAGCGAAGAAAAGCTGCATTTTGTTGTTGCATGCAGTTGTTCTTTTGCGGTGACCACTGTACTAATAGGTATACCATAGGGGGAGTCTTTTTTTTTCTTCTTT